AATCCTCACCTGAGCATATTTGTTTCATTAATTTTTTTTTTTCTTTTTTAGAGAGTGGAAGTGTAGGGGGGGCAGGGTGAGAGAAACACTGATGTGTGTGAGAGAGACACACCAACTGGTTGTCTCCTGCATGTCTCTGACTCAGCCGAGATCAACCTGCAACCCAAGTATGTGCCCTTGACTAGGAATTGAACTAGTGACCCTTCAATGTGCAGGCTGATGCTCTAACCACTGACCCACACCAGACAGGGCACAGGGCAGCATTTTCTTTTCTTTTTAAAAAAATTAATTAATTAATTTTATTATTATTATTATTTTTTTATCCTCACCTGAGGACATTTTTTCACTTTTTGTTCAGATACAGTGGGAGGGAGAGAGAGGAAGAGACAGAGAGAGAGAGAGAAACATCAATGTGAAAGGGACACATCAAGTGGCTGCCACCCGCATGACCCAACCAGGGCCGGGGACAAACTACAACCAAGGTAGGTGCCCTTAGCAGGAACCGAACCCGGGTCTCTCTGGACTGCAGGCCGTCACTCTAACCGCTGAGCAAAACCAGCCAGGGCTAATTAATTTATTTTTGTTACAGATGTTTCTCCTTAGGGCAGCATTTTCAATAGAGTTTTCTGCAATGGTGAAATATTTTTTTTACCTGTGTTGTCTGATGCAGCTGCCAAGCTCTAGAAATTCAAGTTCAATTTCAATACCACTTGGGGCTGGAGGCTACTGAATTGGACTGTGAAGTTTTTTTTTTATCCTCACCTGAGGACATTTTTCCATTTTTTGTTCAGATAGAGCAGGAGGGAGAGAGAGGGAGAGAGAGAGAGAGAAACATCGATGTGAAGGGACACATCGAGTGGCTGCCACCCGCACGACCAACCAAGGCCGGGGACAAACTGCAACCGAGGTACGTGCCCTTAGCGGGAACCGAACCCGGGTCTCTCTGTACCGCAGGCCGACGCTCCAACCGCTGAGCCAAACCGGCCAGGGCTGGACTGTGAAGTTTTAATGACTTGGAATCAGCTGGTGAAATCTTGAAAGCAGAGGAAGAAAGACACTTAGTAATCAGGAGGAAAGATGGAGAGATACAATATACAGGGTGGGGCAAAAGTAGGTTTACAGTTGATCAAATGGAAAATAATATAATAATTAATAAAATGTAAATCTACTTTTGCTCCACCTTGTATATAAATAACTGAAACATTGTCACCAGGAGAGAGGTGGCCACTACTTGAGGATTAAAGGATGGGGATTAGGGATATAGATGCTTTTGTGATAGGAATCAGGTGGAACACAGATGGGTGAAAGATGATACTTTATAAGCAAAATGTAATTATCCAGTTGAAAAATCTGCATTGTTCCTGCCCCTGGGGACAGAGGTGGGGACAAAACCAATGAATGCTATGCAGAAAAATAAGGCAGGCAAAAAAGACACATAGTGGGAGAATATATTTGTTAGGAGGGGATCAGAGAAGGCATGTCTGAGGAGGTGACAACTGAACAAAGTCCTGAATGAAGTATATGGATGTTTTTCCTTCCCCCAAAGCTCTCCACAACAGAAGTTCGTAGATTTTTTTCTATAAAAGACCAGAGAGCCCTGGCCAGTTTGGCTCAGCGGTTAGAGCGTCGGCCTGTGGTCCAGAGAGACCCGGGTTCGGTTCCCACTAAGGGCACGTACCTCGGTTGCAGTTTGTCCCCGGCCCTGGTTGGGTCGTGTGGGTGGCAACCACTCGATGTGTCCCTTTCACGTCGATGTTTCTCTCTCTCTCTCCCTCCCTCCCACTCTAGCTGAACAAAATATAGAAAAATGTCCTCGGGTGAGGATTAAAAAAAAAAAAAAAAAAAAAAAAGACCAGAGAGTTTGGTGACTGCTACTAAACAAGAAAATATCATATGGCTTCTTGTACACATTTCATTATAAGTGGTAGATTCTAGTAAGAATCATTGATAACAACCATGAAAATATTACTACTTGCCTGCTCTCATTGGTTGTATATTTACTTGTTCACTGTTATGTGCTCAGAGGCCAATGGCTAAATATCTGCTGAATGAATGAAGAGGCAATGAGGTAAGTACGTTATCACTCCCATTTCACAGATAAGGAAACTGAGGCCCACAGAGGTGAAGTGACTTATCCAAGTCACACAGTCAGCACATGGCAGAACTGGGATTTGAATCCAGGTCTCTGTGGCTCCTAATGTAAGTAGTAATGGAATGATTTTTAGTTAGAAATACAGGGCATCCTGAACCAATGATGGAGCATCTATGTAGTTAGGATAGATGGGGTAGGGAGGTACTAGATAAATGCCAATATGTTAGACAAAGGGTTATTTTCCTCATTTTACAGGTGAGAAAACTGAGGCTCAGACAGGATTAAGAATCTTGTGGAGGAAGATTTGTAGCTCCCTGAGGGGAGGAGTCCCCTGGGGGAGAGATCAATCAGGAAAGGCCTGCTCAGAGCACTGTCAATGCCCCCAAACCCTCACCTGCTAGAGCCTGGGGCTGCTCCTCTTCTTCCTGTTCTTGCTCAGCCTCCTCCAGGAAATCTCTCAGCAGCTTTTCTGCTTCCAGAGCCTCAGCCCCCAATGGGGCGGCCCAGCCCAGAAAGGTACGGACAATGTCCAGGTCCGAGTGGGCAGGGGGATCCCAGAAGTCCTGAGGGTGGTCCTGCAGCCAGGAGCCCAGCACAGACACCACAGCCCTGGCCAGAGGTGCAGGGTCTCAGAAGCCAGCTGGGAGCTCTGCAGCCCTCATACCTCAGATCCAACCTTTAACCTCTAGGACCTTCTATTGCTACCCAATGGTAAACCAACCTCAGGTTCTTGTTGAAGCTCAGATCTTGTACCTCTGTCTTCTTGATTTCTACCCTGGAAGGAGCCCCCCAGTCAGGTGAAGAAGGTGTCCAGGAAGGGGGAGGGTGCTTAGGAGAAGGGTTCTGAAATTCGGGGATTTCCTGATTCTAAACCTGAGGGAGGGCCCAGGTGAGGATCTAGGTGTAGGAACATAGAGGTTTCCCCATTGGTACTAACCAGGGAGGCAGGGGCGGAGGTGGTGGTGGCAGGAGAAGGCCCAGAACCCGTGCAGTGGGCACAAACGCCTGGTGGGTGGCCAGGAAGGCAGGCACGAAGCCTGGGTCCTGCTCACGGTCTACAGACACCAACTCCCGCACCAGCCGCTCCAGATGCGCCGCCCTCAACACCCGAACCTTGCTGGTGCGGTAGTGGAGGAAGGTGTCGGCATTTGCACTGGGGGCCTGCGAGGCAGGGGGGTGGTGATGACTCAGGAGTGGTGCACAGAGCGCCCTTTTTCCAATCATACTCGTTGCTAGCAGGGCTCTTGCATCAGATCCTGCCCATTCCTCCGAATCTGGCCCCCTGGATTTATTACTCTTCACCATACACAAATGACCTGAGCACCGCAGTCCTCCCAGGCCCTACCCTCTGTCCCCACTTACTTGTCCCCCACGTTCCACCCCACGTTGCTCTCAGCTCTCCAGCTACCCCACGTTCCACCCCACGTTGCTCTCAGCTCTCCAGCTACCCCACGTTCCACCCCACGTTGCTCTCAGCTCTCCAGCTACGCTTCACTGGCTGGCCTTGTCCCTGCCCCTACTCTCCCCCTTGCTCACCAGGCTGCTTCTAAAGACTACCCTTCCCTCTTCAGCTCCGCCCCACTAACCTAGCTTACCTAGCCCCTGCCTTCAGGTCCCGCCAGCAACCGGGTCCCGACCTGGCCCCACCTCACTCACCTACCCTACTCACCTGGACGCCCACCTTACCTGGATGACTTTAAGCCCCGCCCTTCGCTCGGGCCCCAGCTCTCGCTCTCCACTCCACTCCGCCTTCACCTGGACTTCACCAGCCCCGCCCGCCCTCCAATTCCCTTCTCACCTGGCTGTCCCTGGGCCCTTCCCTCGGGCTCAGGCGCTGACTGCGCTGCCGCCGCAGGGAGACACTGTACACCGCGCCGTCCTCGGTCTCCTCGCCCCAGTCCTGCAGCGGCGCCTGGACGCGGAGGGGAAGCTCAGGACACCGCGGGAGGTCGGGTCCCGGGGCCTCAGCTCCCCTATGTCGCTGGACTCAGGCCAGGCCTTCCCAGAGTTTGTGAGAGTCAGTCTAGGGAAGTCCCCTCGGCGGTGCGAGTACCCTCCTCCCTGGTCCTGGGAGGGTGGGGTGGCATTTGGGGACGCCCCAGGGTACAGTCTCAGTGGAGTCTGTCTCTGGCCTCCTTCCCTCCATCCCTAAGAGGAACCAGCCACAGAGGACGAGAGGCCCGAGGTAGGGAATCCCAGGCGAGTCCGAAGGGTCGAGTTAGTTGGGAGATAGGGTCCCGGGTACCGGCACCTGGAGTTTCTGAATCAGGGGTTCGCAAGAGATGTGGGGTCCTGGCAGCCCTCGTCCCCTTACCAAGGCAAGCTCCTTCCCTGCTGTCCGCAGCATGGCCGGTCCCCGACCCGCTCCGCAGCACGGCTGAGTGAGGCGGAAGGGCCGCTGGCCGCGGGCAGTGTAGGGGCGCTTGGGGGCCGCGGGGCGGGGCAGACCGGCCGCGCGGGGCGGGGCGGGGCGGGGCAGCGGGGACCCACGGCTCTCGGATGCCCCCAGCTGGACCCCAGTGCCCAGCCCAGACCCACCGAGTGACGTTCGTTCTTTCTGTGGGTGTTAATCTGTGCCCAGAAGAAGAGCCACCTCTCTCCCCCAGGGGAGGTCTCTCTTCTGTGTCCCTAGGAGAGCTAGTAGTGTGTATAGAGGGCGACAGGTCTGTGTGCCCAGGTGTAGAGTCCTCTGTCCTCAGCAGGGGAGGACTAGTCAGCCCCAGGTGTGAGACATTATCTCTGAAGGGGCACAGGGAGCAAAATCTGTGTTCCCAGCTAATGGGAGTCATCAATTCCCAGGATGGAGGGGGCAGAGCCTGTAGCCCTGAGTTTGAGAAGCAGCGGTCTTTGGGGGAGGTGCAGGGTCAAGGAAAGACCAATAGGCAGGAGGCTGGTGGGTGACCTTTATTTCGTGATTCGGAGGTCGGCTCGGCAGCCAGGGGATATTTATTCTGGGCGCCGATGGCCGGCTCCGCTCCCTTGTCCCGGGAGTGATGAGCCCTTGAAAGGGTCCCGAGGGCGGGTGGCCGAGCCCAGAGGGGTTGGGAGCTCCGCAGGAGCCCTGAGGCGGGCACGAAATCGAATCTAGGACTTCCGAGAGCGACTGCGCCTCTTAGTGCGAGATTCCATTAATTTCTGGGAACGGACCTTGAGCTCCGAGCGAGTCACCACGTCATTGTCTTCGTCCTCGGTTTCCTCTTCATCTGCGTGAGGTGGGGGTGGGGAACAAGGGGAACCAGGTTCCATCCCTACCTCAGACTTTCCTACCCGGCCTTTTATACTCCACCTAACTTTGGCCCTTATCCTGATCTCAGGCCACCTCCCACCTCCCACCTCCCACCGCTCTGTCTGGGCCTCAGGCCAGGCCCTCTGACCCGCCCTTTTTTCATGCCCAAACTGACCAAAGAATTTGTCCTTGGAACTGGCAAGGGGCAGGGTGATGCGGGTGTTGTATGTGGGCAGCTTTCCCTCTAGGCTGGAGTAAAACTGGGGAGGACAGGAGCAGGAGAGAAGACTGTAGGTGGAGAAGGGGCTACCAGGAAGTCATGTTCCCCCTCCTTCCCACCCCATTCCGGGATATGCCCTGATTCCATACAGCCCCTCTGCCCACTCCTGTTTAGTTTTCCTCCGGCCCAGCTGCGTCATTCTTTCTCAGCAGGCACCCTGAAGCCCAGTCCCACCTCCCTGTCCCCTCCCCCCCGCCAGGCCCGCCCCCCATTATCTGGGGCCCCGCCCCTTGGCATCTTGAGGCTCCACCCCTGACCGCCTTCAGCCCTGTGCTCTGGCCTCCCAGGACCGTCTGGAAGTTCTCCCGGCTCTTCGAACCTGAGTCATTGTCCCCAAGGCCCATTCCCGGCCCATTGGCCTTCTCCTGGGTCTCCCGGGAGTTGCCGCCGGCTCCCTGATGTCCCCCTCAACCCAGCCCACTGCCTGCTTGGGTACCTCGTGATTCACGATGTGGCGCAGCATCTCCGGAATGTCGTGGCTCACGAGTTGCGCCTGCAGCTTCAGCAGCTTTTCCTCCACGAGGCCCAGCAGGTTTGGCAAATAATCACCTGCCTTGGGATCCAGCTCTTTAGCAGTGGAGAGACCAGACTCCTGTGGCGAGGGGAGGAGCCATGTCAGCCGAAAGGGGGTGGGCCTCGGGCAGGTTCCACCCAGGGACAAGGCTTTACTCCTTGGGGTCAGGTCTTTGAAGGTGAGGGGCCACCCACAGGGGTGGGGTACTGTCCTCTGTGGGGCGGGGCCTCCGCAGTAAAAGGCCTCGCTTATGAGGACAGAGCTTTGGAACAGGAAAGCTGCACAAGAAGTGGGAAGAGGTTTGGTTTTTTTTGCGGGGGAGAGGATAATAACTCGAGAGAAACCACTGCGGGGATGATCTGAAGAAAAGATACTTTGCTGCGGACTGGCCGCGGCTTCTGTCTCCGGCTGCTCCAGGATTGAAGCCTGGTATCTGAGGTTTCGAGTTGGGGGGCAAGGTGGGATTTCTTCTGCCGCCAGGACTTGAGGTGGCTCAGGTCTCTGAAGTCTTGGGCCACTTAAGGAGTAAGGGGTTCCCCCAGGAACATGGGTTAGGGACGCCCTTGTAGGCAGGCTTCTGAGGTCCTGGATAGGGTATGGGGTGGGTTCCTTCCAGTGGGCTATGGGGCAGAAACCCCAACTGAGGGGCTGTGCTGCCTCTTAAATCCTGGGAGGTTCTGAGTGGGGCTTCCTCGGGAACCTGGCTGTCCACAGTGATGTGGTCCAGCTTGCTGGCCAGGTGCTCCAGGCCCTCCTTCAGCATTTGCATTGCCCGTGTGGCCTGCTCCATCCGGCCCTGGGCTTCAGCCCTCCGCTGCTCCTCTGCATTGAGGCTACTCTGCAACTCGGCCTGCTGCTTCTGTTCACTGCAGGGAGTAGGGAGCCAGCTGTGGGAGTGCAGAGGCCCCTGAGGCCCCCACCCTCTCCCTCAGACACTGGGGCCTCACCTCAGCAGCATGGCCTCCCCGGAGTACTTGAGGTCTTCAAGCTCCTGCTGCAGCCGCTGCTTCTCTTGCTTCAGCGTCAGCAGCAGCTGCATGTTCTCTCTCTTGAGTGACTCTAACTGCGTGAAGGTGTCACCCTGCGCCAGGAACCGCCTCACCACCGCCTTGGGCCCAACCAACCCCTGTCAGAGCCAGGGCCTGGACAGGCCCAGGTGCCACCATCCTCCTTAACCCCGGGGTATGAAGAATACGTGGCCTGAGCTGGCAGCTTCTGCACAGCGATGCTTAGGGACTCTGTGAGTAGGACTCAGAGCTGCCTCACGGGTTGGTAGCCTTGGACAAATAATTTTTGCTGGGTCCTTCCCTCTCTATATCAGAAATTTGAAGCAGCCAAAAATCAGCATGTGGGGCAGGGTAGCAGTGACCATAGCTGCTTTCTAAAATCAAGGTGCCAGCAACATTTTGGGGGCAAATCTTGCTCAATCTTGTGAAGAAATATTGGCCGGCTGTGGGAGTGATCCACCCACCAGTCCAATTTCTGAAAAGGCCACTGGCCATAGTGCCTCAGATGACTCTATAGGTCCAAATCCTGGAACTCCTCAGGGGTCATCCCTTGGGAAGAATAAAGGGTTGGAAGGTTCCCATAGGGGAGAAACCAGACCGGGGTCCAGCAGGATCAGTATTTGCCAGCATGGAACATAGGAGTCTTAGAAAATTTCAAGGGAGACATTGCAAAGAGCAGGCTCAGGGCAGGGGTTTGGCTTGCCCAGGGCCTAGGGTGGCATTGGGCAGTTCACTGGGCCCTAGACCATGTTACAGGTGATAGAGACACAGGAGAGGAGAGACAAAACTCCCAGTCCTCACAGAGCCTACATGCCAAGGAAGTCAGTGTCACTGGTATAAGAGTGAACAGAAGGAGAGGAAATGGTGGTTAGCATAGACAGTCTGCATGGGTTCTGTTGTAAGGGAGAGCAGAGAAATGGAGAGGTAGCTGGAGGAGGAAGGGTTGTCTTTTAATAGAGCAGGTTTGGACTGGCTGATGTGGCTCAGCGTATTGAGCATTGTCCCATGCACCAAGAGGGCCCATGCCTGGGTTGCAGCTCAATCCCCAGTAGGGGGAGTGCAGGAGGCAGCCAGTGGATGTTTCACTCTCATCCAAGTTTCTCTCTCTCTTTCTCCCTCTCCCTTCTCTAAAATCAATAAAATCATATTTTTTTTTAAAAAAAAAAGAGAGCAGGTTTGTGTGCTGATCAAGGGCACGAAGGGCTGCAGGCAGCACTCACATGTGCTTCGGCCACACCGGTGGCATCCTTGACCTTGCCGAAGAGAACCTCCATCTGGTACATGCTCCAGCGCAGCTGCAGCTCCTCTTCCTTGGCCCGCAGACTGTCCTGGGTCGTATCATCAGACTGCAGCAGCAGGTTCTCTCGCTGGGTCTGCTCCAGGTTTAGGTCAGGTCCAGGGTCAGGTTGTGGACAAGGGCTTAGGACAGAGGTCAAGAAAGGGTATCTGGACAGGGGACAGGGAGCAGGTGGGGCCCAGTCTAGAGGGCCAGGTAAGGGCAACCAAACAGGGGTCAGGAGTGCGGAACAGGGCCATGGTCCTGGCACCCCTAGGTGCTCCCACCTTGCGCTCCATGCGTTCATTCTGCAGTTTCCTCTCCTCTGCGAGTTTCTTGAACTCAGTTATGTACCTCTCGCGATTCTTGCGCTCTCGGAATACAGTCTCCTCGAGATATTGCAGCTGATTCTGGAGGACGGGCAAGGGAACAGCAGGACCAGCTGGCATCTACCATGGCTCAGGGTCAGAGCCCAGGGCCCGGGCAGATAGATGGGAGGGGCTCTGGGACAGCTAGGGTTCAGATTCTGGGGCCAGGAGACCATGGTGTCTGTGCAGGATCCCCAGGGACCAGTGGGCTGGCACCTTGGCAATGTCCCGGGCATTGAGCGCCTCCTGGTTCACCACATGTAGTTCCTCCAGCTCGTGTTTTGTCTTCACCACCTCAGCCTCCATGGAGTCCAGATGGGTCTCCAAGTGAAGGCTCTCTTCCTGGGGTGTGAGGAGTGGGGCAGGCCTGTGACCACTGTCCCTGACCAGGCTGGCCTTCCCACTTGCCTCCCCTTCCCCAGCATTCTGGTTCCCTACCTGTAGATAGGCCTTGAGTTGCAGGTACACACTAGTGATGTGTTCCGCCTCCTCCGCCTTCATCCGGGCCTTCTCCAGACGGTTCTCCAAGTTACGCAAGGTCTAGAGGGAAGCAAGGCTGGGCTGAGTCCCCTCCCTCCTCAATTCCTCCTCCCCCAGAATCAAATGCTCCCTGTGCCCCTGTCTCCCTCCCACCTTTCCGCACCTCACTGGCCCCACCTTAGCCACCTCAGTGTTGCCATCTTGTGTTTCTGCCATCTCCAGCTCTCGCAGGTTGTACTGCAGCTGGAGCTCCTCCAGCCACTTCTGCTGTAATCCCACCTGGTGCCGCAGAGCATTTTGCTGCTTCACCTTCTCATACAGCCGGTAGTTCAGGTGCTCCAGGGCCTGCTGGAGGGAGGGGAGCGAGAGCAGGGGTCTGAACCCCCTACCCCTAGTCTTTCCTCCAGAGCTTCCTTATTCCATATTTTGGTTCTTATCTCCCTAGTCTGTGAGCAGCGTTTGACATGGCTGACCCTCCTCATGCAGATTTTCTACTTTGGTGGCTTCCAGAAGCCCATTCCCTGGTTTTCCACCCACTCCCCTATTTGCCCCTTGTCTCCTTTGCCTTTGGAGAGACAGCCGACGTCTATACCCACCCCCATCAAGATCTCCTATCTAATCTCAGGGTTTTAAAGGTCACCTATACACTGAAGACACCCTAATTTGGCCTTCCTCTGAACTGCAGGCTCATATTTCCATATCTACAATGCCTTCCAGATGTGTCCACAAGCACCTCAAACCATCGTGGCCAGATGGGACACTTGATCTTTCCCCAAACCTGCCCTTCTCAAATCTTCCCCATCTCAGCTCACGGCAGCTTTCTCCTTCCAAGTGCTCAAGTCCAAAACCTTGATGTTATCCTCATTTCTTTTTCTCTCCCATCTACACTAAATTTGTTAGCAATTCTCTGTTCTATTTCAAAGGTTCCCCCTTTGGCCCTGTCTTGTTGCTCAGTGGTTAGAGCATCGGCCTGCAGACCAATGAGTCATGGGTTCGATTCCGGTTAAGGGCAGGTACTTCGGTTGCAGTTTGTCCCCGGCCATGGTCATGTCATGCGGGAGGCAAGCAGTTGATGTGTTTCTCTCACATCGATGTTTCTCTCTCCCTCTCTCCCTCCCTTCCTCCCTCCTACTCTATCTGATGATAAATGGAAAAATATCCTCGGGTGAGGATTAAACAAAAAAAACCTTCCCCCTTTGAAATAAGAAGAACTATTTCTTCCTATTTCCAGCTTCCACCCTAGTGTACCCAACACCATCTTTCACCAGACCTCCTCCTGGCTTCCACTCTTGCTTTCTTACAGTCCATTTCCCACTTCCCTGAGTCTCAGTATATAAAATTTGCACTCTTTATCATGGCCTGCTGCAAGATTCGGCCACTTGCGACTCGCTTAACCTCACCTCCTACCAAGCCCCCATCACTCACTCCCATTTGGCCACACTGGCCTCCACTTGTTTCTACCCCAGGGACTTTGCATTTTCTGTTCCCTCTACCTGAAGCATTTCCCCCCAGATCATTTCCTGCCTGGCCCATTCTCAGTTCAAACATCATGTCTCAAAGAAAGGGGTCCTTGCTGACTCACATCCCCCAATTGAAAGGGCAAATCCCTGTCTCAATGGGAATTTAGTGTTTTTTTTCACTGCATGATTAATAACATCTAGTACCATGCCAGGTACATGGTTGATATGTGGTAAAAATTAATTGAGTGAATAAATGAGTGGCAGCTGGTATGAAGAAAGGACTAGAGAAGAGGGGGCAGGAGCTAGGGAGTCCAGTGGGGAGGGGATCCAGGCTGGAAATCAAGGGAGATTGTCAGTGGAGTGGTGGGTGGGTGGGTGGGGAGGCAAACCTGGCCTGTCCTGTTCTTCAGGTATGGCTTCTCTGACTTCCATTCCCGAATCAATGCCTGGATCACTTTTTCATCTCCCTGCAAGGAAAAGAGCCCAGTCACCACTTACCCAGTTCACCTCTACCTGAGGCAGTGCCCTGCCCCTGGGAATGCTGGCACTGCCCCCCTGGAACCTCTTCACCCACTTTTGTACCCTCACCTGAAGCAGGTCCGTCAGCTGTAGTTGCAGCACCCTAGTCTCATCATGTAGCTGGTTGATGGTTTCCTGATTCTTCTTGATGTTCCACTGGGTGCTCTCATAAAAGGCCTTCCGATCACTCTCTGGGGTCAAGTGATGTGGGCAGGTACAAGCAGAACGTCATTCAGGGTGGGGAAGACTTCCCAGAGGGATAACCTTTTTGTAATCATCAATTTATTATAGAATAATATTGATTATGTGTTGATTATAGCATTGATTATGTTTTGGATGCTGGACTAAGAACTCTCTAGGTATAACACACCATATACCAATAGATGCATATCCATATCATACTCATTTTATAGATGAGAAGACAGGCTTAGACTTATTCGGTTATTCAAGGTCACAAACAGTCTGACACCTGACCTTCAACCACTATGCAAGATTACCCCCTATTAATAATAAAACAATAGTAACAATAATGGTTTACACCAGGATTTCCAAATATCTCTAAAAATCAATGGAAGAAAATGTCCTTGGGTGAGGATTAAAAGAAAAATCAATAAGTAAAAAATTTTAAAAGTCTCCAGACTTTGCCAAATGCCCCCTGGGGAGCAAAATGGCCCTCTTTCACTAAGAACCACTGATTTATAATTTATAGTGTGTTGCTATATGGCAAGTACTGTTCTAAGCACTTAACACATTTCAACTACCAATGGGGTTGTACTGTTATCCCTAATTTACAGATGGAGAAACACAGCAATTAGGTTAGTCTTAATCCCCCAAGATGAAACCATTAGTATATGCAGTCAGGATCTGAACCCAGAAAATATGTCTCTAAAACCTACGTTTTTCACCACACCATGCAGGATAGAAGAGTTGAAATTACACAAAAGTATGAAATACAGTCCAGTTGGTTCTGACTCCAGAAAAAGTTTTAAGAGATGAGAAAAACCATGAACAAATATGAGTTTTTGCCTCCAGAACTGACCACCTTAATGAATGCTGGTGAAGCATCTATGTCGGAGGGCTGGGTGGACACTGTTGACTCCGGACCATTTTATGCCCTTTGGAGCCATCTTACCTAATAGTTGTATCTTCTTTTGTAACTCAGTCACCTGCTGAGTGTGCACAGAGGACTTCCCCGCGCTGGCATGGACGGGGCCCTTCTTAGAATAGAGTGGGGGCCAGGCCTGTGCGGTGCCCTTGCCTCTAGGGTGGTGGCGTTTGGCTTGATCTTGACTGCCCTTGGCCTTGGAAGAAGTGGAAATCTGGTCCTGAGCAGGCACGGCGTTGGTGGCGGCCGCCCAGCACAGGGGAGACGTCATGATTGGGTTGGGGCCAAAGGCTCCTGGGAGATAGGGGAGCGACTAGGAATCGCCTCTGTCCAGGATCCCGTAAGTTCGGGTTCCTCCGGCTCTGGGAAAGCACTTTCCAACCGTTTGGCTGGGCCACGGAGCATCTCCCAATTGCTAGGTAACCTCCTCCCCTCCTCCTTTCCGCGCTCCCATGGAAACCGCCGCGTTCTGCTCCCCAGCTCTCATTGGTTGATGCCGCGGTGGAGGGGCGGTTCCAACGGGGTGGAGCAGAGTCGAGCGGCTGGATGGTGGGGGAGGGTACATGAGAGTCACGTGTTCATCCCCTTTTTCTCCTCCCACCCAAACCCACCTGGTGTTCCCGGGCGTTTTTCAGGAACTTTCTTTTGCGACTGTAGACCCTACCACTCCCAAGATGGAGGCACCTTGGGCCGCCATTAGGCGTGAACCCTCAGCACTTCCTTCTAAGGCTTCACAGCCCTATCCAAGATGGCCGCCTAGGTCCCGGCTGCCCACTCGCCACTCCTAACATGGCGCCCCCGAGCTGCCATTCTGGTGCTCAGCCTGTTGCGGGAAGTGACGCATACTGCACATTTCCGCTTATTTTTTTCTGCCGGAAGAACAGTTGGCTGCTGGGTTGGGGGGCGCGGTGGATATTGACCTTTGCCCCTGCTTCGTGTAGGTGATGAATTCGCGAGCGGGAGGGCACCCCAGTTTCCTGTTCGGGTGGTCAGAGTTGCGTCGGGAGAGGGGGAGGCTGTTAACCCCTTCGGCCTATTGGCGGGAATTGGATAGCTCGCCCTCCCCCCATAGGGCGGGGGGGGGGGGGGCCTGATCCTCACCATTGACCCGAGCAGACTCCCCTCCAGCGGGCAGGGCTGGAGAGAAATCTTCCGCTATCCTCCCTCATGCGCCCTCTTTGCCTGGAAGCGATGGAGGAATCCAGTTAGCTGGAGGAAGAGGTGCTTTCCTTTGGCTGGAAGTAGCCCTTTGTCGCCGATCAGCTCCCCTTTCTTGCAGCGTCGGGGCACAGCGCATCTCCCGCAGCCTGCTTCCTCCCACAGACTGGTTTCCGGCCTCCAAGCCTCCGGCGAGATGTTACTGTGGGTGCTGCTGCTCCCCGTGTGCTGGGCCGTGGAGGTCAAGCGGCCCCGGGGCGTCTCCCTCAGCAGTGAGTCCGCCGCAGGGTGTGGGGGTAGGGCGCGGAGGGGCCGCTTTGGCTCCTCGGGTAGGCGTTTACAGCCCGTGGCCTCAGTTTCCCCGCCTCCGGGTAGGGAAGGCGGCAGTGCTCAGCCAATGGGTGGAAGCAGAGGTGCCCTTAGGTTGAGAGGGCCTCTTCATTCCCGGGCTGAGCCTCTTGCTCACCTCCCCAGACCATCACTTCTACGACGAGTCCAAGCCTTTCACTTGCCTGGATGGCTCGGCCACCATTCCTTTTGATCAGGTCAATGATGACTACTGTGACTGCAAAGATGGCTCGGATGAGCCGGGTGAGTTTTTCTCTGTTCATTCATTCATCATACATTTACTGAGCGCCTGGCGAATGCCAGGTCCTGTGTGGTGACTAAGCCAGACCCAGTACTACTCCCTGTTGATCGAGTGGAGAAAGCCGGCACAGAAACAAGTGGTCATTGGTTTGGTGAGGAGAGATGTGTGGGAGCCCAAAGAGGCCCCCACCCAGTCTGGGGATCAGGAGGTGAGGTCTCAGCTGCATCCAGAAGGGTGCTGCAAATGGAGAGACCCGCATGTGCAAGCACCGGAGGTGGGGCCTAAGGGCAGGCCAGACAGGTGAAGGCCAGGGAGGGAGGAGTTGGTGGCCCTGTTCTGAGGGCCTTGGTGAGGAGAGTCAGGAGGGAGCACTGAAGAGTTTTATTTCAGGCCCTGAGTGTGCAGCTGCCTCTCTTTGACTTCCTCAGCAGTGGTTGTTCTACTTTTCTTGTGCTTCCTGTGTGCATGTGTGTCAGGGTTCTGTCTGGTGGATGTGATGGGCAAGGCTTTGAGCACATTCTGAAAACTCTCTCTTCCTTCTTCTCCACAGGCACAGCTGCTTGTCCTAACGGCAGCTTCCACTGCACCAACACTGGTTACAAGTCCCTGTACATCTCCTCCAGATGGGTCAATGATGGAGTGTGTGGTAAATGAGATCCCATTGGAGTTGGGGAAAGAGGGGGATGGAAGGAGGAGACACTACTAGGTCTGATGGTGCCCCTTCCTCTGCCCTAAGACTGCTGCGATGGGACAGACGAGTACAATAGTGGGATCATCTGTGAGAACACTTGCAAGTACGTGGGTGCCCCCTCACCCCCAGGACCTTGCCTTGCCCCACCCAGTGAATCTCTTTTCTGTTTTTGGGTATTGAGCACTCACCCTGTGCCAGGTGCCTTGTGAAGGTTCCATCACTAGTTTTCCCTCTGGCAGAGAAGCAAGTACAGTCATTTGCCTGTTCAACAGGTGAAGAAGCTCAAGTTTAGAAATGAGAGTGACTTCTTCAGGGTCACACATCTAGGAGATAGCAGACCTGGGACTCAAACTCAGGTCAGTCTAACATGAGAGTTCATTTTTTTTTTCTATCCTCACCTGAGGACATTTTTGCATTTATCTTCAGATAGAGCAGGAAGGAGAGAGTGAGGAAGAGAGAGAGAGAAACATCAACATGAGAGAGACATCGAGTGGTTGCCACCCACACGACCCCAACCAGAGCCGGGGACAAACTGCAACCGAGGTACGTGCCCTTAGCGGGAACCAAACCCGGGATTCTCTGGTCTGCGGGCTGACACTCTAACCTCTGAGCCAAACCAGCCAGGGCGAGAGTCTATTCTTTTAATTGCTACACCGTAGAGCAGGACCTGAAAACTGAAATGCCCACAGGCAGGTAATCTAAACGGCAGAAGTAGGCTGAGTATATAAGGCATCAGGGAGTGATGGGGATTGTGGCATCTAAAGGAACAACCATCCTTGACTTCTGTCAGTTGATGGCAGGTGACAGGGCCTGATTTGTTTCTCAACAGTCAGGAGTCCTGATATTTAAGTAAACGCTTCTGATTGGAGATCTTTTATTTAAGTAGAGGTTTGACCACGAGAAACACCCTTACCTACCAGATTGTCCAGGGGTCTGTGACTTGTGTGCTTTTTTCTTTTTCTTGGTACCCAATTTCCAGCCCCACATCCCAGCACTCCCTACTCCCTCTCCTGACCCTGAGGGTGGGTGAACTCTGCCCACTGTCTCTCCTCCCAAGGACAGAGATTTGGGGCTTTGAGGCCAAGAGAGTCTGGGAAAGTAGAGGAAGAGGGTTTGCTCTCTCATCTTTCCCAAAGTGGGGGCGGCAGGTGGTGTTGAGCCCTTTTGGAAGAGGCAGATCTGATGGGTCCTAAGTGCCCCCTGGTGGTGCCTGTGTGTTCCCTCACCCCAGAGAAAAGGGCCGCAAAGAGAGAGAGACGTTGCAGCAGATGGCAGAGGTTACCCGCGAGGGGTTCCGCCTGAAGAAGATCCTTATTGAAGACTGGAAGAAGGCCCGGGAAGAGAAGCAGGTGAGGGACCCTGTGGGGCTGACCAGGACAGTCTGAGCCCTGAGTCCTAGAGGTACAGTCTGGCAAGACCCAATGGGGTTGACATCTCCCTATGAGTGGTATCCTAGGGCCAGTTACTGTCTGTGCCTTGGTTTACTCTTTTGTCTTCTTGACATTTGGCTATTGGTTAAACCATTACCAAGTGGACAGTGGTTAGCACAGGTGTTGACTAGAGCTTTAGGTGGCAGATTGAGTGGGCTGGGGGGAGTGCTGCTGCCTTCTAGAACAGAAGGGATGCCTCTCTGCATCCCGAGTCTGTGGTTCTGTTGTCTATAAAGTGAGGCTGATGACCGTGTGACTGGGGGAGGACTCAAGACGGTGTCAGTCAGCAGCTGGGTTAGTTCAATAGGGTGGGTGCTTTGGGGCTGGAAGAAGGTGTACCTCCAAGTGTGTGTCTCTCTTCCCTGCCTTCCAACCCCTTGACTGTTTGATGGGTCTGAGTCCTCAACACTGCACCTGAGCTCCTGCTTAACCCCCTGAGCAAAGGTTCCAGTACTGCTTCTGTGCCTAGGGAAGGTTCCAGGTCTTTTCTCCCAACCCCGTGGCCTGGCTAGTGAGGTCCCTCCCAAATTCATGCGGCAGTGAAGTCCTTCTGGAGTTTGAGGACAGTGAGCTCCTTCCTGAGTTTAAGGGATACTGGGGGAACTATGTGATGAGGGTGTCTCCAAATAACCTTTGCACTCGTGGGGAGTTGGAAGGATCATAGCAGCAGTCCAGGCTGAGGTGTCACCCAAGGTCTTGGGAAGAAAGTGATCCTGTGGGCCCTCGGACTAAGACCCTACAGCTTGGGACCCCATTCCTAGGCTGGAGCTCGTCCAGCATTCTCATTCCTTCTTGAAATGTCCACAGAGGCCCAGGATGTGCTGTGCATTAAGCATGAAGCTGGAAGCACACGAGGAACTGCCTCAAGGATGCATTGTCTGGTGGGAGGGACAGACAGACAGAAAATGATGCCCACGGTTGCTGGGCATAAAGGAGACACTCTTTCCTGGTCCCTGGTGTTGGGAAGCAGGGAAGACTTCCTGGAGGATGAGGTTTTTAAGCTGAAATCTGAAGGGGTAATTCAGAGGTAGCCAGAGAGAGTATTCCAAATGGAAGGAAAACGTGTGAAGAGCTGGAGGCAGAGAGCATTTGGAGGTCTGAATGTTGTCAGGACAGTTGGTTCCTAGAGTTTAAGTAGCACTGGGGCCGGTGGAGCTGGAGAGGCAGCAGGGGCCTGGTTACACAGGGCCTCAGAACTATATTAAGGTGTTTTGGTTTCTCTTTACTGGGCTTCAGAGAACCACAGCAAGGTGGGGTACCCAGAGAGGTATGAATTTTGGGAAGATCCTGCAGTTGCCCTGTAGAGTAGAGGCAGGGAGGTAGCAGTCTGAGGAAGAAGATAGAACAGATGGAGAGCTGGCCCCTTGCCTTCTGCCCACTTAGCAAAAGCTCACTGAGCTACAGACCGGAAAGAAGTCCCTGGAGGACCAGGTGGAGATGCTGCGGATGGTCAAGGAAGAGGCTGAGAAGCCAGAGAAGGAGGCCAAAGACCAGCACCAGAAGTTATGGGAAGGTATGTCACAGGGTGGCCACAACATGCCTTTGACTTCTAGCCAGAAAGCCTGAGCCCACGAGACTTTCTCATCGCCTATTTGTCTGTTTTATCTGCTGACTTTATTGATCATGGTGCCTCAGTTCCCCACAGCCTACTTATCTTCAACTGTGTGGTGGTTATGGTATTTGACAGCCATTTACAGGAATATTTTTCAGCCTAGGATAGGAGAGGCTTTTCTTTCTGCCAGCTGTGTGGGAACATGGCCGTTCAAGGATCCCCAGGTCCAGATTCAGGCTGGAGCTGTGATCTGAGCTCAGGCTGGGTGATTTCCCATCCAGCCTCTCTCCCCCTAAGGGAATAGCCCCATGGGGGTCACAGTGTAGTTACTGGGGGGTGGGGAGTGTCTGCTCTTCTCCCCCCCTTGGGTTTTGATTTTCATCTCCTTGGCCCCACAAATTCTCATCAAAAGAGACATCCAGATTAGCCAGGATGGGCAAGTCCTTTAGGGCAAAATTAGTCTCTGCATCTCTTGCCTTTCCAAGTGCCACTTTGTCTTGGCAATTCCAACTGCCTTGGTTGGTTTTAAGATGGACTGTTCAGCATTTCTTGCTGTTGGCTGGTCGTGTCACCTTTATGGGAAGTTGGAAGCCTTGGTTCTTGTTCTCAGTCTGCTCTGTGGGAGACACCATGGAAGCAGAATAGAAGGGGGAGGTGGGACAGAAACTCTTTGCTCCAGACTAGGTAAAGAACAAAGCATTGCTGGAAGGAGTTAGACGTGCTGCTCCAGCTGTTCCTGTGGCCGGTAACCAGGAACTGGGCAGCCTCTCCCCCGAGGCCACACTGTTATCCTCCGTCTCTCTGGGCATCTGCTGTATTCTTTCTTCTCTCTCTCTCTCTGCCCTGATTTCTCATGATCAGTAATTCAGTAGTTTATCTAACAAGTATTTGCTGAGTGCCTGCTGTGTGCCAGGCACACCACAGGTGCCAGCAGTACATCATTGAACAAGATGGAGAAAGCCCCTGCCCGCAGAGGGAGTAGGTGCACAGGCCCCGAGTCATCATATCTGGTTTTCAAGGAGCAACAAGGTGGCCATGTGGTTGGAGGGAGTGAGAGAGGAGAGTCGGGAAAGACAAGGGTAGGGACTGATGGGTAGGCTGTACAGGACCTTAGGGACCATGGTGAGGACTTGGGCTTTTACCCTAAGTGGGGTGGGAGCCATAGAGGATTCTGAGCAGCGGCAGAATGGGAGCTAGGAAACGAGGGAACATCTGACTACTGTGGTCTTTTTTGGCTAACACCTCTCTGCTTCTAAATATGCTCAGACCTCTACTGCCCAAACAGCTGTCCCCAAATTTGGCCTTCCCCTGTAGTGATGTGAGGCCAGGTGGCCTCTTTCTCTTTGTCCTGATTGAACCTGGCTTCTTTTACTTGTTTTCCTGGTTTCTGAGGCCTGGATTTTCTGTTTCTTAAGTCTGAACTTTTTGTTCTCCTCCTTCATGGAAGCCATTGCTCCATGATGGCAGTTTTTCTGTTTTTGCTGGCGGCACACACTCCCCTCTTCCTGCTCAAGGGCCCCAAGACCCTGATGCCTCTTCTGGGCTGGGACTCTGACATCTAGCTTCTTCTCCCTTTGGTTCCCCACCCACAAATCCATTTGTACCTGAATGTAACTGCCCTGAGATGTCCCACAGACCCACAGGTTGTCCCCCTTGTCTGGCTACACTCCCACCCCAGTCTCCATTTCCCGATCTCCTTCATGTTGGAGAGAGAGCCTGGTGGGGTGCTTGGGCCTCTTCTCATGGGGGCCTCCCAGATACAGCAAACCTAAGACATGGTCCCCCCCACCCCCCTTCTCTACCAGCCCCCGGTTATTCAGATTAAAGTCAGGGTGGCCTGACTCAGGGCCCCAGTGCCCAGCATAGGGCCAGACACGTGGTTGGCTGCATGGCTTGTTGGGGGAGGGCAGATTTCAGGGTGGGGGGTGCTAGCAGGCAGAGTGGAGGGTGACAGCTGGCCCTTCCACAGAGCAGCAGGCTGCCTCTAAGGCCAAGCGGGAGCAGGAGCTGGCAGCTAACGCCTTCCAGGAGCTGGACGACAACATGGACGGGATGTGAGTGTGCCCACGCTGCCCCCCCCTGCCTGGGCCTGGGGTCCCCTCCTCATGCCTGCCTTTAGAAACCAGCCAGCCCCTACCTCCTTGCCAAGGGGCCTGAGCTGGTCCCAAGCTCTCTCTGAATGAGCCTTTACTTACTCATGTGTAAAATGAGTCTAGAATAGGCAGGTGGTTGTAGAGATGAGGAAAACTGACTTCCCAAGGAGTTGAGTGAGGTGACAAGGGGTCTTGCTACTCTTTCTAAGCCTACTCTGTAGTCAAAGCCAGAATCCTTTGGATCCCAGCTGTGCCCCTGACCCCAGACAAGTGGCTCAGTGGTGGGTGGGCTGTCAGAAAAAATGAGGAAGGGCAGGCACTCCGGTGAGGAGCAGGGGCTTCACAAGGACCAAAGGAACAGAATGGGCAGGGTGGGCCATTCCCAGGTTGGTAATGGTGATGGGTGGGGGCCAGAATGTGGTTTCTGGGCCATCGTGGATATGGGCTCCTCCAGGTGGAGGGCACCAGGCAGCGAGCAGTTTGGATGTGCTGGGTTCTGAGGGTGGAAGGAAATGGATGCTGCAGGTGGGTCAGGAGAAGAGGGTCTTGAGGGACACGGGGTCCAGGTGTCTCTTAATCCCACCCCGGTCTCTGTCCCTCCTCTGAGCCCCTTCAGTGTTGCAGAGACTTAAGGAAGGGATAGGAGGCAGGGGTCTGGGTGGCTGCAGGGGGGGTGCCCAGCTCTAGAGCACACCTCCTAACTTCCTGCCGCTCACCCCTCTGTCGGTCTCTGCCTGCGCCCCTGCAGGGTCTCGGTGGCCGAGCTGCAGACTCACCCGGAGCTAGACACAGATGGGGATGGAGCGCTATCAGAAGGGGAAGCCCAGGTACCCCACTCGGCCCCTTGGCTTGGGACTCCTAAAGTCGATTGCCCCAGGTGACTTCAGGGCTAAGGGACGGGGGACAGGCTGGCTCAGTCAGGCTGCTCCCATGGAAAGTTCCCTGCTGGCCCCAGGCCAGGACTGCTGGGGCTCTGGGCTTCACCTGAGTGAGCCAGGAAGGCAGCCGCCCAGCGTCACTTCTCCCTACCCTTTGGAACCCGGCGGGCCATGTGGGTGCCACAGGGTGTCTGATTGGGACAGAGCCAGGTTTCTGATTCACACGCTCCCACTGGCTCCCACGCGTATGTGTACCCAGTCTGCAGTCATTACATTTGTGCTTTGGCTCTCTGCATAGTCTGGACCCTGCTTCTCCGTCTCTGTCCGTCACTGTCCCTGCTGAGTCCCTTCTTGTCCTTTCTGGGCCTTTCCCTGTGAGGGCCTGTTGGCCCTAGGTGCTTGTGCTCCTGCTCTGTCCCTCTCCTCACTCTCCCTGTCTCCACTAAATGCCCCATCCCCTTGGTGAGGGGTTTTCTCCCCCACCTGCTGGCCTGTGCTGCCCCCTTCTGGCTGCTGCACCTCACTCATCCTGGCCCAGGCGTGGCCTTGGCAGCCAGCTTGCCTGCGCCTGGCACTGCAGCCTGAGGCTTCCCCTTATAAGTGGCTGGGGCACAGGATGGGCACCTGGAGGCCGCCATCCTCATATCACCCCAACACATGCACACAGACCCTGCTCGGGGGAGACACACAGACGGATCCTACTGCCTTCCACAACCGCTTCTGGGTTGCCATCAGGGACAAGTACCGGTTTGAGGTCAGTGGGGTAGGGGAGGGGGGGATGTGGTCTTACCCCCACCCTCCTTCTTGGCCCCTTGATGCCTAACAAAGGAACTGCTTCCAGTTCTGGCGCCAATCCACTTTGGCCAGCTGGCCACCCCAACCCCTCCTCTCAGCTGTCTGTCCCTTTCTCCGGGCCCCTTGGAGAAGGGGTGGAGGCACTGAGGCCACCCTCAGGGTGATGGTGTGAACGTGGACCCAGCCCCATGGGGGTGGAGGGCAGACCCCAAGTCCACAGCATCGAGCACTCTGCACACCTGCCAGGTTCTGCCCACCAACCCACCAGCACCTTCCGCGCCTGAACTGATGGAGCCCAAGGAGGAGCAGCCCCCAGTGCCCTCACAGCCCACAGAGGAGGAGGAGGAGGAGGAGGAGGAAGAAGAAGAAGAAGGGGAGACGGAGGAGGAGGAGGAGGAGGAGGAGGATTTACAGGTGCAGGGGGAGCAGCCCAAGGTGTGTCTATGGGGGAGAAGGAGGTGTAGGGCCTGGGGGCAAGGTCACTTGCTGACTTTGTCCCTTCCCAGGAGGCCCCGCCCCCACTCACCCCTCCTCAGCCAGCCAGCCCCACTGAGGACAAAATGCCACCATATGATGAGCAGACACAGGCCTTCATTGATGGTGAGTGCTGACTGGGCCTTGGAGGGAGGGGGCCCTTGCCCATATCTGCCCCCTCCCATGGTCTTCACCTGTAGGTACCCAAGAACCAGGCCCCACATGCTACCCCAGCAAACCTGGGGGGCTGGGGACATTCTGGAGGGGGCATCGGGTCTGGGGAGGCCAGTACCACCCCCGCCAGCCCCAGGGGCCCCTCTGCCTCCTCACTGGCTGCTGCTTGTTTTTGCCACTGTCATGGATGGGGAGCCAGTGGTGCCCCTGGAGCTCTGGCCCTGATCCCTTGGGAGCCTAGAGCCTGGGCAGCTGGGTGGGGTCTGCAGCTGGTGAGACCACAGGGCCTTCCTGGGTGCATTCCTACCCAGAGGAGGCCTGAGAGGTGGGGAAGCAGGCATGTCCAGGCACCCCTGCTCCCTCTTCCTGGATTTGGGTAGGAGCACCTCTGACCTTGTCCCCCACTCCACCCCTACCAGCCGCCCAGGAGGCCCGAAACAAGTTTGAGGAGGCTGAGCGGTCCTTGAGGGACATGGAGGAGTCCATCAGGTATGGGAGCACAGGTCTGGCTTTGACTGCAGCAGGGCAGTCTCTACCACCTGCCCCATAGCTGGGTTCCTCAGAGTTGGTGATAATAGGGGGTTGCCAAGGCAACTGCTGCTACCCAGGCTGGCAGTGGCTCCTGAGGGGAGGGTCCCCAGGCGGCAGGGAGCCAGAGCCCAGCCCCCAAGTGGCCCTTCATTAATCACAGGGACTCTCAGCGTTGTCCCGAGTTAGTGTGTGGCAACTCAGTTGCACCTTTACCACTTGGCCTTCCCTTGCAGGAACCTGGAGCAGGAGATTTCCTTTGATTTCGGCCCCAGCGGGGAGTTTGCCTACCTGTACAGCCAGTGCTATGAACTCTCCACCAATGAGTGCGACCTTCCCCCGCCCCAAAGGCAGACAGGCGGGAGGGCTGGCGGGGGAACTTGGGGGGTCCAGGCCTGAGCAAGGTGACCGAAGTGAGGAGGCAGCCTTACAGGCCTGGTACACACCACCCCCCTGCCCCATGTTGGGGATGTCAGGGAGGCTGGGATCCTGTGTCTTCCCTACCCACCAGTCCTGTCCTGTGACAGGTACATCTACCGGCTCTGCCCCTTCAAGCTTGTCTCACAGAAACCCAAGCTCGGCGGTTCCCCCACCAACCTCGGGTGAGTGGGCTTAGGCTGAGCCCTTCTCCCCTTGGCATTCCCAAGCCCCCAGCCAGCCCATCCTCAGCACCTCACTCTCCTGCAGCACCTGGGGCTCGTGGGCTGGCCCTGAACATGACAAGTTCAGCGCCATGAAGTACGAGCAGGGCACTGGCTGCTGGCAGGGCCCCAACCGCTCCACCACTGTGAGTGAGCGGGGTGGGAGACTGGGTGTGGCCGGGGGTAGCATGGGTGGACCCAGGCCTGGCTGAGCCCACCTGTGCCTCCACCTGCCACCCGCCCTCCCCAGGTGCGCCTACTGTGTGGGAAGGAGACCGTGGTGACCAGCACCACGGAGCCCAGTCGCTGTGAATACCTCATGGAGCTGATGACACCTGCTGCCTGCCAAGAGCCACCCCCAGAAACACCTGCAGACAGTGACCACGATGAGCTCTAGCCCCAACCAGAAGAGGTGGGCAGGGAAGTGGGTCTCTGCCCACCTGAACTTGGGGGTGCAGTAGGGTCTTAGGAAAGCAAACCTAGGTTGGCGCCATTTCCTCACCCGTGTCCCATCCTCTTTCTTTCTCTGGCCCCAGGACCTCAAGGCATGGAACCAGCCTCCACTGGTGCCATCTGCCTGCCCCAGTCTGTAGACAAAGGTCTGCCCCTCTGACTCTCCTTGCCCTCCCCACAGGCAGGAACTCTGAGGGGCCCCCTGCCCTGCTCTTGGGAGGCCGGGTTGGGCAGAGCCATTTTCCCAGGCCTCAGTAGCCCCCAAAGATGGACTGAGGGAGTGCATCCTCCTCGGGCCCCAGCCTGCCCTCTGCCCAGGGCATCTGCCTCCCTGCTGGTGGGGATGGTGAACTGACTGTGACCGTGAAACAATAAATGACTCCCCAACCTATCTGTGTCTGTCTGCCTTGCTTTGCTTGGGCCGAGGGTGGGCAGAGCGCAGGAGCAACAACTGTCTGCGTATCTTGGACTTGCCTGCTCTGCCATCAGGCTGGCTTCACAGGTGTGGCCTTTCCAAGCCTGAGTCACACATGAGATGATTAACACATGAGATGCCCACAGACAGCAAAGTCAGGCACCAAGGGACAGACAGACCATGGGCCATGTCTGTCTAGATGTCTCCCACCCACCTGAGTCTCATCGGTGTCGTGGGTAGGCCAAGGAGCTTGAGGTGAGACCCAGGTCCCCGAGCAGCGGCTTGACTGAGGCATGCGGCCGGGGCCAACAGCACACTGCAGCGCTCCCCGCCCACCGGTGCACAGACACCTGACCAAGGCCGTAAGATTCTGAACTTTTATTTTCTGGCATGAAAAGTACAAATAATTAAACAATTCCATGTAAAAGTCTGTTACCGCGGCCAGGCCTGTAATCCGGTAATAAATAGTCTAAACGCAACGCAAAGTGTTCCTGTTGGATTTTTTTTTTCTTTTTTGTCTTTTTATCTTTTTTTTTTTTTTTTGCAGTTCTTTATCATCTCCAACATATGGACTCTGTCATGATGTGAAACCTTCTGAATAAATAACGATGAAGGGAGGGCTTCAGGGGCTGAGCCCCCTCCCCAAGGGCCCTGCCCCCGCCCCCCAGGGACATGGAAGACCCCAGGCCCCCTCCCCAGGGCTGGCCTCCTGGTAGGGGGCCTGGCTGGCTGGGCTGAGTTCTGTGTTTAGAAAAAGAAGTGCCCTCCCAGTCTTGGGGGTAGCAGGGGCCTAGGCCTCAGTGGGGAGGGGTGTGTGTGGGGAGGTGCCCTCTCCAGAACCCAGCCCCCCCCCCAGGGTGGGGGACAAACCCAGCCCTTATTGCTCACAGATGCCCCTGGCACGCTGCCCACGTGTGCACACGTGTTCCCGCGTGCAAGGAGGGCAGAGGGGAGAAAGCCCCAAGAAACGGAGAGGGAGGGACCCGCTGGGGCGCCTGCCCTGCTGGAGGGGAGCAGGGACATTGGGAGGACTTAAAAACCACAAGAATAAATAGGTTTGTGTATCAAGAACAAGCTAGGGTTTTCACCAGCTAAATAGGACTGAAAAAATTCTCAAGACGAGCAAAAATAATCCCATTGAGACCCGGATGTCGCTGGCCAGGTGGGGACCTCCCGGAAGAGCGCGCATGCCCCACCGGTGCCACTCGGCTACCGTTACTGTTATTAATAATTATTACTTTAATGATTCCACTTTCCCTTTTATAAATAAATTAGGCATAACCACGTCTCAGCAAAACTTAAAGAAACAAAGAGAACATCGTGGTTCCTTTGAACTTGCAAACTGGATGAAGGAACAGAAATATACACAAATGTCCTTACAGGGCAACAAGAATAAATAGTTAACATAGCAATAAGTTAAAACTACAAGAAGCTAAATTCGGCAAAAAAGTACAAGAAAGTTAACTGGTGCCAGTTTATGTCTTTTTTTCCTCTTTTTCTTTTAAATCTCTTCTGTGTTTTTTTTTCTTCTTCCTTTTTTTTGTCATTTTTTTTCCTCTTCTGTTTGTGTTTTTTTGTTGCTTTTTTGATTTTTTTTCTTTTTGTTCCTTGCAGCAGAAGCTCCACAGACGTTTAATAACAAACACCAGGGAGGGTGGGGGAGAGAGAGCTGGGCAGTCAGATGGGGCCATGGCCAGACACCAAAGCAGGGACACCGGAGGAAGGTCAACTGAATCTAAAATCGGGGTTTGCAATTTTCAGTTCTGACTGGGCCCGCTGGGATGGGGTGGGGGGCTGCAAGGGCTCCCAGGGACTCCTGCCTTCGGCTTCTGTTGGACTTTTTCGATACAAAGAATGAAAACTAGAGGGACAGAAAGTCCAGACAGAAGCCAGGGCTGGAGCTTGGGATTGGAGCTGCGTCCACTGCCCTCACTCATCTGGAAAGATGGAAAAACCCAACAAACTAAAAGGGGGTGACAAGTGGATGGGAAGGAAAAGTGGGGCTGGGCCCCTGGGCCTTGCGGGGAGGCCCTGGGTAGGGGGAGGGTCAAGACCTGGTCTCCCCCTTGGCCTCAAGGGCCAGGGCCTGGGCCCAGGGGAGGCTCAGTCCCAGGGACAAGGGGTCCTTTGGCCTCAAGTGTTGTGGGGTGCTGCCTCCAGCCCACCATGACGCCAAAAGTGAACGAGGTATCGTGTGTCTGGATGCAGGACGCTGTGTGTGCACGCCTGTGTTCACGGGCGGCATGGACCACTGATGAGCCAGAAGAGAGCTCTGCAGAGAATCCGGGGCTGGGGCGAGTGGGCTGAGTGCTGGGAGGGGCTGGGCCAGCCTGGTTAGAGGAATCAGACTGGGCCCTCTCACCTGGGCCTGAGGGATATTTATGGGCATGTCTGTGTGTTCCTAGGTGTTGTGTCTCTGTTTCTCTGTGACTGGGTGTCTAGATTTGTGTCTCCAAATACATGCCTCCACTTTCATGTATATACGTGTACTCATGGAAATATTTGCATGTCCACATATGCCAGGATCCAAATTCACCCGTGTCCACGTTTTTCCACATCTATGTTCGATCGCTGCCACGTTTACATGGCTTCATACTTCAGTTTTCTGTTTTAGCCATGTGTTTCTACGTGTCTGAGTTTGACCAGTTTCCAAATGTATCTAGGTCGTGTCTCTGGGTCTGTTATGCTGCTGTGTGTTTCTGTGGGGGGTGTGTGTCTCTGTGTGGCCCCATGGCCCCCAAGTCCCTAAGCTCTGCTCCCCGTCTTTGCCCCAGTTGGTAAACATAGCCTGTCAAAATATTTTCTTTTTTTTGTCTTTTTTGTGTTTTTTTTTCAAGTTCAAGAATCCCCAGTAAAAATTCTCCACGAGGTCTTTTTCCCCTTTTTACAAAAATAGAGTTTTTCTTCCCCTCCCACCCACCCCTTTTTTTTTTTTCATTTTGTTTCTGTTTCCAGCCCCTCGCCCTGCTCCTCACAATCCACCAAGGAGCTCTGGGCCAGGGATGCCCACACCCCTCTCATGTTTCTCTTTGTTGGGGATTTTTAAACCTGTTTCCTCCCCCACTCAGGCTCACCTCAGCATTGGGGAGGCCTGGAGGGCACCCCAGCATGCCCCCCCCCAAAGCCATCCTGTGAAGGGTGGTTGAGGGTTGGTTGGGGGCACATCTCTGCTTTCTTTTTAGCCAAAAAAAGAAACAAAAACCATCGCCATGAACAAAACCAAGACGAGAGAGTGAACAGCCCAGCCTGGGGTAGGGACAGGAGGATGGGGTGGGGCACCCCCAGGCACCCCCCATTCCTTGCAGACCCTCCCAGCCCGAGTGCTCACCCTGTGGCTTCCGCAGGGGTGTGGGGCCTCGTGCCGTCCGTGGTCTGCCTGTGCTGTGTCTCTCGGGCCCCTTCTTTCTCTCTCTCTTTCTCTCTCTCTCTGCTGCCCGGGGAGGGTGGGGAGGGCGGTGGTGGCTCAGGCCTTGTGCTGTTTGCTGGTCTTGAAGGACACCTGCAGCACACGCTCGCCCAGGCGGTAGCCATTGAGGCTGGCAATGGCCATGGCCGCCTCGTCGTAGTTGGTCATGGTGACAAAGCCGAAGCCCTTACACTTGTTGGTGGTGAAGTCGCGGATGACCTTGACGTTGGTGACTGCCCCAAAGGGCCCGAACAGCTGCCACAGCACACTCTCGTCTGCCTCTGGCGACAGGTTGTACACGAAGATGCACCAGCCAGCACCCGTTGCACCCCCCGACAGGCCCACGCCCGCCAGGCCGCTCATGCCGTCGATGGCGATGGGCGAGAACCTGGCGATGAGCGACAGGGGACTACTTTGGGGGTCACGCGGGCTCTGCCCTGACCCCCGGCATGCCCCCGACTCTGCTGTGATCCCGTGACCTCTGATACTGCCATGACTTCTGATTGTGCCTTGACCTTGGGGCTCTTGTGAGCCCTGCCTTATCCTAACCCTTCTGTGACCTCCATCTGTAATCTCACCTTCAACCCCCACCGGCTCTGAGACTCCAGTCCCCAATCTTCACCCTTACCTGTACCTTCTCCTGACCTCTGACTATCCCTAAACATTAGGCCCCCACCATGATCCTGCTCTAAGCCCCCGAACTACACCCTGACACCATGACCTTTGACCCTACTTGGTCCTTGGCTCTGTTAACCCTGATTATTTCCCCAAATGCCTGGCCATCCCCTTCTTCCTTCGGCACATCTTCCCACTCAACTCCTGCCCTTGCTCCTCTTTGACCCCATCCTGACCCTGCCACCTTGTCCCATTTGTCCTACCAGCCACCCGGCCATGTGACAGGCCAACCCCAAAAGGGCAGTGCTGGAGCCCAGATGTGAGTGTAGCATCTAAGCGATTCCTCCTTAGTCAGGGCTAAGCACAACCGTCACCTCCTTAGGGGGTCTCCTCTGACCCATATGTGGCCACCTCCTCTCCCTGTCCCTCTAGGCTTTTCCTAGTTAAACTGTATATTTCCTATCAGCTCCCTCTTCCCTAAAAGGCTTTGCTTTCTGTGGTGACCCAGCCCTCAACAGCTCTCGTACAGTAGGCTCCACTCAGCTGGGCAGGACCCCAGGGCCTGAACCAATCTCTTGAGCTCACTCCCTCGCCCAGGCCTTTGCACAGGCCAATCCTGCTGCCAGGAACCCCGCCTCCACTCTCTTGCCTCAGATGGACCAGGATCCCTCTGGGTCCACATCACCCCTTCTGCCCACTCCACTGCCTTGATCACTGACCACCTATCTGTCTCCTCTCCCACTAGACTGAGACCATTAATAACAGTAACAATAATCATAAGAGCAGCTACCTTTTATTGAGCGCTCACTATGTGCCATGTACTGTGCTCAATATCATTTCATCTCCACGAGGGATGGGCTACGCTGGGTACCCAGCTGCAAGCCAAGTGGCCGGCATTCAGCGTGCACTCAACAGCTCATGATGCAATAAACTGGGGTCGGAAACAGGATCAGGGATGTGGACAATGTCATGGGGGCCTCCAGGACCATCCCTGACTACAGGGCAGAATGGGGCAGACTGTGACCCTCAGCAAGGACCACCAACAGTGGCAGGGGGAACTCAGTCTTAACCTGGGAACCAGAGGTCATGGCTGTGACCCAGGTCACACTGCCCACTTCTCACCGGGCTGGAGTGGGTCACGGACAGGGCCTCTGGGCCCAAATTCCACAGTAGCTCTTTGTACTACTACACAGGAGGCATTTACTAGGCTCCACAGCCCCCAAATCTCTTAATGGCCATGCTACTTCCTGACAGGTACAGACACAGCTAAGCTGGCAGCCCTGAGGGTTAGGTGGAGAGGGGTCCGTCAGGGCAAGTGTCCGAGGAGGGACAGTGAGGGGCTGGGGGCAGTGGGGTGGGGGCACTGTTACCTCTTGACTCCGTAGGCCATGTTGAGTAAATTGTCCAGCCTGTGGGGCAAAAGGGGTGGTCACTGGTGGCCTCCAGGCACGTCCTCGGCTGTGATGCAAGTCAGCCGGCCGGCCCTCCCTGCCCCCACCCTGCAGGCCAGCAGTGCCAGCCCTGCCCCCGCCGCCTGCTGCCCGTCCGGCTGGACACTGCCTGGCACGGACCATGGTCACTCCAGCACCGCCTCTTGCCTGCCCTGCCACATTCTCATCCTCCCTCTCCCAGCCACCTGACCTCACTTGCCTGCCCCCGACCCTATAGGGTTCAGGTCCCCAGAAAGGAAGGTTTGAGTCTCTTCACCACAATGGTTGGGCTGGGCAAGTGACACATCTCTGAGTTCCAGGGTCCCTATCCGTCAAATGGGGACAAGACAAGCTGCATTCTCATGGAGTTGCTTTGCAGAATAAATGAATGTGCCTGGCAGGCAGGATGCACTCATGAAATGTGCATGAAAAAACTGAGGCAGGCAGCTGGAGTCACGTGCCAGAGAGGGGCAGTCACAGCAGGACCGAATCAGGTGATTCTAAATTTAACGCTGAAAATGCCACGCACAGTGCCCAGCACACACTGAGTACCAGCTGTGATCAGGGCCTGGCTGCAGCCCCTGACAGAAACTCATGTTTCCCCTTTGCCGCCCTCAGCAGTCCCAGCATGTAGGCACTGTGCTGGTGTCCCCCCTGCAGAACTGGGGCTCAGGGAGGGCAGCTGGAAGCCTGGGGCTTCTGGCCTGGGGTTTGGGGAGTCCAGGGTAGGGATAGGAGGGGCCTCACCGGAAGCGTTGTGTCTGATGGTGCAGGGGGCCTGCATAGCGCCGGGCTGATGACTGGTAAAGGTGAGTAAGCAGGGCCTGCCCTGTCTTCTGACTTGGGTTGTTGGCAAACTTGACTGTGATGGGCTCAGCTGCTCCCAGTGGCTTCTGTCCATTCAATCCTTTGATAGCCTCCTCGGCCTCAATCCTCTTGTCAAAGCGGATGAACCCCACGCCCCGAGACACACCTGCCAGGGGGTGAGGGTGTCATGAGGACCCTGCCTCCTCCCATACAATCCCCTCCTGCTCCCCTGATTCCTGCCCTAACATTCCCCATTTCTAAGTTTTGGTCTCACTTTGGTGCCTCCACTCAGAGCCCCACCAGGTGCACCCTCTCCAGGGGCCTGACCTGTGACCTGGTCCACCAGGATCCGGGAAGTGATGATGCGACCGTACTGGGAGAAGAGCTGCTCCATTTCCTTCTGGCTCATGGTCTTGGGGAGCCCGCTGACGTACAGGTTGGCATCCCGGATGGATGCAGAACTGGGTCTGGCATAGGATACCTGAGGGAGGTACAGGTGTAAGGGGATGAGGGGAGAGAGGCCACATCCAAACCATCACTGAATCACAGAAATGCCTCATCTGTTCACTCAACAGTCACCATGGCTGTGGCTGACCAGGGCTTGGGGGAGAGGACATGGCCGTGGTCCTGCCTGCATAAATTGATGGGGCACTTGTTACCTGAGGAGGTCAAAGGAGCCACACCCCTGGGGTCACATGTTTCCTGGAAGACCTCAGGGACTCTTGTGTCCTCAGCTTATAATCTCATGCTGGGCATCCTGTCAGCATGAATGCTTCCCACTCCTTTGGAAAGTGAGCCTAGGACACTGACCTCTTGTTTTCCTAACTGCACTGGGTCCCTGAGAGTCACTCAGGTCTTTCACCATCAGCTCAATCCTGATGACTCCCAAATGTCCATCCCCAGCACAAACCTGGCCCCTGAGCTCTACACCTGTGTGACACCCGCCTCCAGGCACCCCAGGAAGGGGCCTCATGGATCAGGGTGCAGCTGCATGTGGTTCCCTACTTCCTCCCACTTGTCTTGACTCAGTAACAGCAGCTCTGTGCTCCTGGGAGCTCAGCACCCAGCCTCAGTTGTCCCTGACGTCCCTCTGACTCTCATACCCACATTCAATCCACCGCCAGTCCTGTTGGCTCCACTTTCCCCATATCCAGAATCTGCATACTTCTTCCCACTTTCTTTTTATTTTTTAATTCTCACCTGGGGACATATTTTTTTATTTTTTATTTTAGAGAAGAGAGGAAGAGAGAATGTGAGAAACTTCGATTGACCGCACATGCCTCAGCAGGATCAAACCCACAGCCCAGGTTTGTGGCCTGATCAGCAGTGGAACCCAAGACCTTCCCGTGCACAGGATGATACTCCCATCAACTGAGCCACGCCACCCAGGACTTTCTTCCCACTTTCGTCTCCCCATTCTGGCCCAGCCCCCGCCATTGCTAACCCCGACCAGTACAGTCGTTTTTTGCCAGTCCCCACTCCCAGCCTCACCTGTGTTCCCCACACAGCAGCCAGAGGGCACCTGTGAACAGCTGAGCCACATCACATGACTCCTGCTCAGAACCATCCATGGTTCCCAAGTTCTTTGGAGTTCAAGGCCTGCCCTGGCTGGTTTGCTCAGTGGTTAGAGCTTTAGCCCACGGACCAATGAGTCTCAGGTTCAATTCCGGTCAAGGGCACATACCTCGGTCACGGCTAGTCTCTGGCTCTATCATATTGATGTTTCTCTCTCTCTCTTCCCCTCTATCTAATGATAAATAGAAAAAATATCCTCAGGTGAAGAATAAAAAAAAAAAGAAACCCATAGATTCAGAGTTCAAGTCCTTCCTATGGCCCACAGGCTATATATGACCTACCCCATCGCCCCTGCCCTCATCTCCACCTTGATAGCTCTGTTCCAGACACACAGGCTGCATCCTGTTCCCCAGACACCGGACAGTCCTGCCTCATGGCCTTTGTACTGGCTGATCCCTCTGCCTAGAACTCTCTTCCTTTTTTTTCTTCATTTCAGTTGAAATGTCCACCCTGTTCTCTTCCACCTGAATTGGGTTCCCGCCCTTACCCACCTTACTCTCTCTCAAAGCAGTCCTCTTAGAATTAGAAACATTTTAGTACAACCTAGTTGTGAATCAGACACATTTTACTATGATCATTCGACTCATGTCATTAATTATGGTCCAGCCAAACAATGAAACTCTCTGCAGCCGTTTAAAAAATGGTGGACGTGGATATTGATTTGCCCAAAACAGTGGTGAGCATTGTGAAGTGGAGGAAAGAAAAAGTCCATTTATAGAGCAGTGAGTATTGTGTGACTATTGTGTGTTTATCAGTGTCCTGGAAACATGGACTGAAGGGTCCACCCCCAGTGCTAACAGGGTGACCTGTAGCTGGTGGGGGCAGGGAGTGTCATGAGCTCCTCTCTCCTCATTTCTGCTGATGTCTATTTTCTTTATTAATCCTCACCCAAGGATATTTTTCCATTTGTCTTCAGATAGAGTGGGAGGGGGAAAGAGAGAGAGAGAAACATCAATGTGAGAGAGACACATCGGCTGGTTGCCTCCTGCACAATCCAACCAGGGCTGGGGATGAACTGAAACTGAGGTATGTCCCCTTAACAGGGATCAAACCTGCGACTCTTTGGTCTGCAGGCCAATGCTCTAACCACTGAGAAAACTGGCCAGGGCTGATGTCTATTTTCTATTTCTTCTAAATTAACCTCTGGGTAGATAGGGGTCATTATCAAGGGTCTGGCTTTTGTTTGGGGCTGTGAGTTGTGAGGGCATGTTACTCATTAGAAATAGCTAATGTAAAAACTAACAAAATGGCCTGGCCAGTGTGGCTCAGTGGTTGAGCGTTGACCCATGCACCAAGAGATCACCAGTTCGATTCCCGGTCAGGGCACCCAGGTTGCAGGCTTGATCCCCAGTGTGGGGAGTGTAGGAGGCAGCTAATCTATGTTCCACTATGGAATCAATGTTACTCTCTCTCTAAAAAAATAAAACAAAACATCAGCTGCTATATTTCTGTAATGATAATTACAAATCAGGGCTATATATTTTACAATTTTTTTAAAAGAGTTAAAAAAATTTTTTTTCTTTATTTGTTAGAGAGAGAGAGAGAGGGAGAAGGAGAGAGAGACACACACAAACATTGATGAGAGAAAACACTGACTGGCCGCCTCCTGCATGTCCTCCACTGGGGACTGAGCCCACAACCTGGGCATGTGGCCTGACTGGGATTCAAACTGGCAACCTCTTGGTACATGGGTCGATGCTCAACCACTGAGCCACATTGGTCAGGCTATTTTACAATTTTTGCTCTCTTCCACAGTTCTGTGAACTTTGAGGGGTGAGAATTTTATTGATGAGTTGGAAGTTAGGGGTGACCAGAAGAAGGGGGTCTGAGCTCTTGGTTGGGTGTCTGGGGTTGGGGTCATCTGAAGAACAGAGTAGGTCTTCAGGGGCCTTTTCTGTCCTTCCAAGATGTTTGCTAACTTGGATCCTTCTCACACTCACCAGGATGGTGCCTGGCACACAATGGGCAGCTAGAAATATTTTGGGCAAATCTGCTGGAACACATAGTCAGGACTGAATATACAACACAGCCACCCTAGCAGACAGACAGCCTGACAGCCAGACACACACACACACACGGCCACAGTGTGCTATCCAATGCAATCACGATGACTACACAGGCAGCAGGGTAACACAAGACCTCAGTCACCTTCATGGCAACTCTGGGGATCTTGGATAATTACTGTAAGAGTTGCACACACCTGTTACACTGCCACACAAGCCCACAACATCACACACATTACACCCCGAATGTGGCACAGGTAGATACACCCACACTTTAGTGTGACATACAAATACCCTGTCACAGCCAGTCACACCCAGGTCACAGCTGGAGTTACAGTGTGTGACAAAGCACCTGTCAGGTAGAAAACATGTCTCACAGACACAGTAACACACCCAAAGTCTATCATAGCTGGACCTATGTGACGACAGCCACTCACATAGCCACAGTATCCAACAAATACTGTCTCACAGCCCAGGGTCACACATACATACAGGGTCTTACAGTTCATCATTAGGGCACTCTTGTGCTTAGGGGCTTCTGGGTTTAGGTGGTCAGGAGAGACCCATCAGGTCACCTTGCCCCCACCCCAGGGAGGAAGAGATTCCCACACCTCTGTTCCTATGGCAAACTGGGGCCAGATGGGTAACCCCTCCAGCCCACCTTCCCCCAGGGTTCAGGAGCAGAATTGTGGGATGGAGCCCAGACACTCCAGGCAACCTAGAGAGGGGGGTTTCCATGGCAATCCCCCCTAGGGAACTTGGGCTCCCAGGGTCCCAGCTGCAGCTGCTGAGAGGGGAGGTTGTGGGGGGGGGGAGCATTACACAAAGATGGGGGAGTGGCCCACCCCTAATCCCACCCTCCCAGACCCTAATTAGGCTCCAGATGGCAGATGGGTCCCCACCCCTCCCCCATTTCCATAACAAAGGTAGGAAAGGGGCTGTCCACAGGACCCTGGTCACTTCTAATACCAGTTGGAAAGGTACCTACTTGAACCTCCACAGAATGGGAGCGCTAATATTCTCTTTATTGACAAGTGAGGAAACAGGTCAGAGAGGCAAAGCCATTGGCCCCCAAGCTGGCCAACCAGAAAACCCTGGGGGAGAGATTTAAACCCCTCAGGGGATGAGCCATGGAGGATGGATGGCAGTGAAGGGGGTGGTCCTGGTGGGCAGTAAGAGAAAATGGGGACAGTCAGGATGAACACTAACAGGGGTAGGTGTGGACAGGCAGTACAGGGGAACAAGGGCACCAACCTTGATGGTCTTTGTCTGTAGTTTGAGGCCGTTCAGGGTGTTGATGGCTTTGTCTGCGTCGTTGGGGTCAGAGTAGTTCACAAACCCGTAGCCGAGGCTCTGCCCTGTGGGCAGGACAGGATGATGACCTACCTCCTGGACCTGCCAGTATCCTCCCTGACCCAGGTCTGAGAGGCTGACCACCACAGGACACCTTAGACCCCAGAGTTTCACCTGCCCCCATCATCCCTGAGACACCCCACCTGGGGTTACACCTTTCTCCCAATCACACCTCAGAAACCTCCAGAGTCCCACCTGGCCCCATCACACACACCTGTACTCCTGAGGCTACCATCCCTCTCCCCTACTTCCCCACCTGCTGGAAGCCACACCTGTGATCTTGTCCCGAACCAACTTGCAGGACTCAATGTCACCAATGCTGCCGAAGAGACTCTTGAACTCATCCTGGGTCATGTTCTGGGGCAGGTAGTTGACGATGAGGTTGGTTTTGCTGTCATCAGTGGCTCCATTTGTACCAAGGAGTGGCCCATTGGGCAGGGCCGGGCCGGCCGGGCCCCCTGCCACCTGAGACTCCATGGCCCCGAGTATCTGCTGAAGACAACAGGCCACACCCACTCACGGCCCAGTCCCCAGGGGACCAGGGGAGTGAGGAGGGGCTCAGTGATGATGGATTAGTCATGTCTGACATGGGCTTGAACATGGGGAGAGGACACTGTATTATTCTAATGATCTCTTCCACTCCGTGAGCACTGAGCAAAGCACTTAACATATGATTTCACTGTGAAAAACTCCATATATAAATGCCATGTATACTTCTTTGTATATATGTTTGCCTGTTTGTCTAAAATCAGCCTGTGCATCTGAATAATAAAATGAACACTTTTGTCTTCAGAATAAGAACTATAGTATTTTTATTAGCTTTGAAGCCCTTTCTCATAAGTTCCTCTCTACCCGTGTACTATCCTCTTCTCACCAACAGTAATTCCTATCCCCAATGTGTTGACATTTAATGCATACATTTCCCACTAGGCATTTACCCCCACAGTTTTTCTTTAAAAAATTTTTTTTAAATTATTTTTTAATTGATTTTAGAGAGAGGAAGGGGGGGAGAGAGCGAGAGAAGAGCGAGAAACATCGATGTGAAAGAGAAACATCAATTGGCTTCCTGTGGAATGTATCTTGACCAGAATCCAAGCAGGGATCCTTTAGTGCGTGGGATGACACTCAACCAACTGAGCCACGTTGGTCAGGGCACTCCCACAGTTTTTCCACTAAGCGTTTTAAAAAAGTATAATATAACAACATCTGCAAATAATGAGTTTTTATTTATTTTTTCCTTTTTTGTTCAGATAGAGTGGGAGGGAGAGAAAGGGATGTGTTTCACGTGAAAGTGACACATCGAGTGGCTGCCTCCCGCACGACCCAACCAGGGCCGGGGACATATTGCAACTGAGGTACGTGCTCTTATGGGAACCAAACACGGGTATCTCTGGACCACAGAGCCATGGTCCAACCGCTGAGCCAAACCGACCAGGGCAATGACAGTTTTTAAAATCTTCAATCTATACCTATTATTTTTTTATTGTCTTAGTGCAGGGGCTACAATGTGATAGTGTCTTCTTTATTCCTGATGTTAAAGGAATGCTTTAAACATTTCACAGCTAAATATGATCTTTGCTTTAGGTTTTTTGTAAATGGCCTTTATCAGGTTACGAATGTTTAATTTTATTCCTAGTACCCTAACAAGATACATTTTTATTTATTTATTTATTTTATCCTCACCTGAGGACTTTTTTTTTTTTGTATTTGAGTAGGAGGGAGAGGGGGAGGAAGAGAGAGAGAGAAACATCGATGTGAGAGACACATCAAGTGGTTGCCACTCACATGACCCCAACTGGGGCCAGGTATGTGCTCTTAGCAACTGAGGTATGTGCCCTTAGCAAGAACTGAACCTGGGACTCTCTGGTCCGTGGGCCAACACTCCAACCGCTGAGCCAAACTAGCCAGGGCACAAGATACTTTTTTTTTTTTTTTTTTAAATAATGGAGGTTAAGTTTTATTTTATTATTATTTTTTTTAAAACACAAAACTTAATTGGATGTTAAATTTTATTGAATGTTCTTTCCCTACTTTTTAAATTGAGATATAACTGACATATAAAATTATATTAGTTTAAGGCATACAACATGATTTGATATTTGTATATATTGCAAAATGATCACTACAATACATCTAGTTAACATCCTTCTCCATAGTCACAAAAATTTTATTTATATATTTATTTATTTACATAATTTTATTTTTGTTAATCCTCACCTGAGGATATTTTCCCTTTGATTTTTAGATATAGTGGAAGGTAGTGAGAGAGAGAGAAACATCAATGTGAGAGAGACATTGGTTGGTTGTCTCCTGATAGGGGCCTGGGATCCAACTTGCAACCCAGGTATGTGCCCTCAACCAGGAATCCAACCCAAGACCCTTCAATCTAAGGGGTGATGCTCTAACTGCTGAGCCAAACTGGCCAGGGCAGCTACAAAATTTTTTTCTTGTGATGAGAAATTTTAATATCTACTCTCTTAACAACTTTTAAATATATTACACATCTATTTTACATCTAAAGGCCACATCAAGAAGAATTTTAAAGCCACATCTGGGTGCAGAAGGAAACAGTGCTGGATTGATAGGTGTTGTCTGTGATGGGCACTGGAAAGTAGAGTAGCCAACATTTCCACAGGTCTTCTCTTATGACATGGTTGGTGAATAGGTTGCCCTCTCCTGAAAACTCAAATTGATTGGTAGGGTCTTCCTAGATGGGTAAATTAAGAAAGATTTGAAGCCACATTGGGTTTCAGCAGGTAAGACCACTGTGATTGATTAGCAATGTCTGCTGTGGCCACAGAATTAGAAATAGTTAGCAAGTACACATCATCTCAGCCATCCCTGACCCAAAATACAATACCACAATTGTTCTCAAATTGTGTTCCCTATATGCCAGGCACAGAGGAAAACTGTCTACAGGTAATTTTTCTTTTCTTATTCACAACAGCCCTAAAAAAAAGGCTTTTATTCCCCCTGCTTAACAGACATTATGGAATAAATGCTTGTGCCCTCCACCACCAATCCATATGTTGAAACCTTAACCCCCAAGGTGATGATATTTAGATGTGGGCCTTTGGGAGGTAATTAGGTCATGGAGGTGGATCCCCCATGAATGGCATTAGTGCTTTATACAAAGGGACAGGAGAGAGATAATCTCTCTCTACACCATGTGAGGACATAGCAAGAAGACAGCTATCTGCAAACCAGCAGGTGAGCTCTCACCAGGAACTGAATTAGCTGGAACCTTGAACTTCAACTCCCCAGCCTCCAGAACTAGGAGAAATAAATGTCTGTTGTTTAAGCTACTCAGTTTATGACATGTTTGTATAGCAGCCTGAGCTAAGACAACAGATAAAGTGAGATTCAGTGTTGTTTGGAAAATTACCAAAGACCATGCAGCCTACAAATGGTGGAATAGGGGTTCACACACGAGCTTTTCTGATCCAGAGTCTATCTCCATGTTTCTAACTTCCACTGCCAACCTAGTGCTGGCTCTAACATTTCCCAGCTGTTTCCTCAGGTTTGCTATTTAATGCTCCCAGGCCTCTGCCCCACTTTGCTGCAAATTTCAAATTACTGTCCCAGGGGCTCGAGGAAGGATCTAACTACACGTGCAGCCGAAAAGCTTTTTGAGATCAGTTAGCCATGTCTGCCATGGGCACAACCACAAGAAGTGGAAACAGGTTCGCCATGTCTGCCATCCATGCCTCATAATCCTGCTTTAATAATCGTCCTGTTTCATTGGGCATCTACTATGTGTTAGGTACTGTGTGATGGGTTTCAAGGCATCATTTCACTTATTTCTCTCAACAATTTTGAAAGAGAGCAACACATTCTTAATTTTACAAGTGAGGAGGCTGAGCTCAGAGGTGTTGAGTAATATAAATGGAGAAACTCCATTTCAAACCTCTTTGTCAGACTTCAGAACTGTATTTAATGACTGTGGCCAATGCACAGTTCTGCCACCTGCGAGCTGTGTCCTCAGGGATAATCCTCGCTCTTCTTTGGGGGACTCCTTCTTCACATTTATTCTTATTAAAAGGATGGCACAGATACCTGGCTGGTGTGGCTCAGTGGTTGAGAATCAACCCATGTACCTAAAGGTTGCCCGTTTGATTCCTGGTCAGGGCACATGCCCAGGTTGTGGGCCAGATCCCCAGTGGGGGTCATGCAGGAGGCAGCCAATCGATGTTTTTTCTCATTGATGTTTCTCTCTATCTCCCTCTCCCTTCTCTAAAAATCAATAAAGAAAAAAATAAATAAAAAAGAGATACATCGACTGGTTGCCTCCCGCATGACCCTGGCCAGGGCCAGGAACGAACCACAACCCAGGCACATGCACTTGACCAGAATCAAACCCGAGATTCTTTGGTCCGTGGGACAATGCTCTAACCGCCGAGCAAAACTGGCCAGGGCCAGACAAAATTCTTTATGTGAGAATTTCCAGGCAATTCTCCCAACGTTGAATATTTGGGGACTCTTCCCTCCATTTAACAGATGAGGAAACAGTGTCCTTGAAGGGCTGGGATTTGAATGAGGTTAGGTAACAGGCAAATGATTGACCAAGAATTCAAATCCAAGGTTTGAACTCCAAAGCCCATTTTCCTAATGAAAAGGCCAATAATAGTAAAAACAGTAACAGTAAAATTAAGTGGAGCACCAACTCTATGCCATGCCCTGGGCATCACTACATATAAATCCACTGTGTTGGCTGAGTTTGCTACTCATTAAATTCAGCAAATATTTACTAGGTGTCACCATGTGCCAGCTGCTGGCTTCCCCCTTCACACTGTGTGTCCTCTGACACTCACATTGCCTCTGGACTTGTCCCTCCACTAAAGGAAAAGAGGTCTCCTGTGTATGGAGGTGGATTCTGAATTCCAGTCCAGGCTCAGTGAGACAGAGTTCTTCAATCAGTTGATAATGTCTGCTATAGGAACTGGGCAAGTATTCAGCAGTACACAGCCCTGTTACAGGACATACCAGGTTCCAGCTTTGGAACCCCTACTATGTGCCAGGCACTGACAGTTGCAAAGTTTTCACTGACTTCCCACAACTACACAGAAAGTGGAAATATCTTCTTTTCTTCGCAAGTGGAGAAACAAAGGACAGAGGGATCTGGGACTTGCCCAGGTTGAATGGGGAGGTGGTGGTTTGACTACTGATCAGATGACCCCAAAACCTACTGGGTTATAAATCCTCCCACCCCAAAAGCTGTCATCAACTTGGAGGGGGTTAAAAAGTAATTGGGGCCCTGGATGGTGTGATTTAGTTAGTTGGTGTGTCATCCTGTACACCAAAAGGTGGCAGGTTCGAATCCCGGTCAGGGTGCATGCAGGAGGCAACCGATCAATGCTTCTCTTTCACATCAATGTCTTCCTCTCTTTCTCTCTCTCTAAAACCAAAAGAAAAGAAAAAAGAGGTGGCAGGAGGATTTCTACTCAGGATCAGGAGCCTCAGCCTATGAATCTCACCACCACCCCATCTCCCTCCCATCTGTGCCAGGGCTTAGTGGGATCAGTGTCACCTGTGTTTCCTCCATGGCTGAGCTGGCTAAGCCGATAATGGGGATCGGATTGGTGGAGATCACACCCACCCTGCTCCAGTCCACAACAAATGTGTGGCCTGATATGACATGGAGATCACAGGGACCTCTGAAGGCTATCCCAGGCCAGGAATGGGGGAGGGTGAAATCAGAGTGGGGGGCTTGGATGGAGAGGCAGATGCCGACTGGGAGCAGTGGAACCTTCCCTCCCTCCCTCCAGCTCTTCCGGAATCTCTTCCTCTGCGCCCCTTCCCCCCATTTCTCTTTCCCTCTCTGTTCATCTCTCCTCTCTGTCTCCCCCTCCCTCTCTTTCAATCTTTCTCCAACTCTTTTGCACCATTGCACGTACATCTGACATACATATTTTGCAGTGAACATGCCTGCGGTCACTTGCTGTGTAGACCCTCCAGTGTCTGACCCCCTTGACCCCCAGCTGCATGCCCAGGCCCCAGTCACAGTGACAGATGCCTGGATACCGGTGACAATAGGGCATTGAGTTGGCTATGCATGGCAAGGCTGAGCCACCACGTGGTTTTAACTGAGCCTCCCACTTCTGGGCCCTTCTCATCCAATGCAGGGCCCTTACTGTCTCAATCTATCACCTCACTTCCTCCCAGCCTCTCCCCATAGTGGATCTCTGCCTGAGTGCCATCCATTAAAGTAACCAAGTTTCCAAGGCCCTCCCGTGACCTCTGACCACACCCTCTCCTCTTTGTGCATGTTTCCCTTTTTCAAATGAGGGAACAAATCGGAGAAATGGATACAGGGGTTCTGAGGGACCCCAGGAAGCCATATGCACGTTCCTGAACCTGGGTGAGCAGTGTGAGGCCCAGAGAGGGGAAGGAGTTGGCTTGAGGTCACAGAGCAGGAAAGTGAGGCCTCTCCAACCTCATTTCTCAGGGCCAGGTAGGCGGGTCCCAGGGTCCAGGAGGGAGTGCTGAGCACCCCCCCACCCACTGTGCTCGCCAAGACTCAAAAGAGGCCCAGAAAAAGACACAGTGTACACACACACACACACACACACACACACACAGAATTGAGAGACTAGAAGAGCGGATGAAGGAGGCCAGGACGCGGGGACCAGACAAAGGACGCACCGCGGCGCGGGGAGCGGAGACGCTCGGCGGGGGTGGGGGTGGAGTCGGGGTGGGACTAGAACTGGCCAGCCCCGCCCCCGGGAGACGCCTGAGCTGCCTGGTGGAAATCCGAGGGCTCGGACGAGGCCGGGACCCAAGGGCCCCGAGGGCGGGGCCTATATGGGCGGGGCGGGGCGGGGCCAGGTCGGGCGTGGTCGGGCGTGGCCGCGCGCTGGGGAGCTGACCAGCTCTGTGGCTGCTGAATGCACCGGGAACGGGGCGAGTGGCGCGGGCGGGCAGGCGCGCTCAAGGTCACCCCGCGGCCCAGAGCCTTGGCAGGGTGGGGCGCCTGGATCTGGTGTAGGGTGCCTGCCTGAGCCCCTTACCCTATTCCCCGTGGGGCGAGGGCCCAGCAGCCGGGAAGTCCCCCATGAGCCCTCCTCTCCCCTCCCCCTCCCCGCAGCCTGAGGCGCCCGCGCGATGCTACGGCCCGCGAAGAAGCTCGGAGAAACAAAGAGATGCGGTGGCGGCGATGGCGGGCCCGCGGGGCCTCTGGGCGCGCCCCCTTCTCTCCCCTCCCCGCTTGCCGCAAGGTCGACGGGCCCGAGGACGAGACGCCCGGATCCTGGGCGCAGCCAAGGCCCGCGGCGCGCGATCCGACGCCACCGGCTCCCCAGGGCTCTCGGGGATGCCTTGACGCCTTTCCTGGCTCAGCACCAGTGATTGGGGCCCTGCATTTGCCTTGGCGGCCTGCGGGGTCCAGGCCTGGATGGAGGAGGTATCCTCTGCCGCCGCGGCCCCTCCCCCATTCGGCCTGCTTGGGGGGGGGATCCCACCCCGAGGGCGTCGTAGGATGCCCCCCGAACCGCAGCTTGGCTCTCTAAGGTCTCTCTGGCCATACTCTTAAGCGTCCTCAGCACTCTGGGCGCGGCCCTGCCCACTCTCAGGCCCCGAGGCTCGGTCCTACCCCCCCTAACTGGGCCTAACTAGGCCTGGTCCTACCCCCCCACCTCCATTTCCGCGGAACCTGTGCCTAACTCGTTCCCGACCACATTCCCTCTCAGTGACAGGGGAATACCTACAGTGACCATTCTTGTGTGCCCGGCGGGCGCGGTCCGTGTTGAGGGCGACTCCGAGGGTCGTGCACTTCTTGGGGGGTGCTCGATGCTCACGCCGGCGTCCTACCCAGGCGGCCTCAGGGGCGGCCGCTGCAGAGGTGTCGGTGAAGGCAGCGGTTCCCTCGAGGGCCGGAGACGGGCCCGAGCCCGGGGTCGCGCGCGCGATTAACAGAGCCCCGGGGTGGTCTGCGGGCGGCAGGGGATGAAAAGAGGAAGCGGGCGCAGGAGTGAGAAGGCCCCCGGCGCGGCCCCGCGGGGCCCGGGGAGTTTGCACTTCCCAACAGAGATCGCAGAGGTCTGCCTTTTGCCGCTGTCCCTCAGCTGGGCCTGTCCGCTTCTGGATGCTCAGTCCTCTGCCCTCGCCCGCCCTCCCTCCCACCCTCCGGCCCGCGCTGCGCGCTCCGCGATCTGGGCCGCGCCGCCGCCGCCCCCAGCCCTTTATATCAGCAGCTGCCAGCGCCGGCGTCGCTCATTGGCTGTAGCAACCAAGCCCCACCTCCTCGCGGCGCCCGACGGCGCGGCAGGTGGAAGCGAGCGCGCGCTGCCCTGGACCAGCTTTCTGAGGACTCATTACACCAGATTCGGGCTCTTTTGACCCCGCGGACCCTACTTCCTGCCCTGGCGCCCCTTTTTGGAAGGGCTTTCTAGCCGGAAGACAGGGTAGGCTCTCCTTCTCTGTCCAGCACCCGGAGCTGGAGGAACGAAGAGGGAGAGGAGGTATCCGTGGTCTATTGTACAACCTTTGCGAGATGCTGTCCACCAAGAGAACGGGAAAGAGACGAGGATCCAAGACTTCAACGGGCAAGGGCCTGGGTCCCCTGTGTAGTCTCAAGGCCAAAGGAGGAAGGGGGATGGCTGGGGTCCTAGTCTGCCTGCAGAAGGTACTGAGACCATGTGAGTTATGTGTCTCTAGGGTTCAAAAGCTGGGGACTGGCACCCCACAGTGTAGGGGCATTCGGCACTGCTGCGAAGAGGGTAAAGAGGTTTGGAGCTTAGGATTTCAGTCAAACCCTGCTGGTGCCCTGCAGCCCAGGGAAACCACTGGGCCTTCTCGGACACCATAAACTTGAGGTGAATGTTCTGGCTTTCTGGATTCATAATTGGTCCGCCCGCGGAGTCACGCTCCCTCTCTGCTGGCGGGACCTGACCGCTACTAAGGCGATAGGGGGTGGCACATCCCCCTTTGGTGCACGTTTACGTCGGGGCTGCTTTCATGTGTAAAATTTTCTTCGAGGCTTCAGCACCACAGACAGCGGCCTGACTGCCCAGTCGAGGGCGCTGCGGACCGGGTAGCCAGGACTCCCTAAACCCGAGAGTCTCAGCCCCCACCCTATCCTCGTCCCAGCACGCCCTTTTAGGTACCAGACTGTCCGAGAGTGCCGTCAAACCCTGCGAGGAAAGCCTATTTTAACCAATCAGGGAGAGCCCTCGCAAGAATGAATAGAGATCGAGCCAATGAGAACCCGAGCAGCAGAGAGCGCGGCCACGCCGACGGAGAGGGCAGGCCAGTCATAGTGGCCGCACAGTCTGGGCGGGGGTGATGCGGGACCCCGGATGGCCCCTCTAGGGTTTGCCAGGACAACATGGCTACTGACCCTGGGGACCCGGAGCGATGGCTTGTTCCCCACCCCATGATCCTCCCGGCTCCAGTGGGATCAGAAGCTGTCCCTGTGCCAGGGGGGGCCATTGCTGGGCGCGTAAATCCGACTGTGGTTCCCATGGAAACTGCTGGCTCCCGCTGTGCGGAGATAACTAAGGGGACTGAGCCTAGGGGGAAAGGTGGCGACTCGCGAGGGAGCAGCCTCAGCGGCAGGACTCTCATCCTTGCTGACATTTCTGAACCTGGCTGGCGTAGCCCCGTTAGAAGTGTAAAATAAAGACTTAGCTGCCGCTCAGCCCCACGAGCTGGCGAGGAACTGGTGGCCAATCTGTGCGTGGTTGTCACAGGGCTCCCCAGGGCACGTGTCTGGGCCCGCGGCTGCGGTCCCCAGGGTCACGTGGCTGCGACCACAAAGGCCCATGCGGCTTATGCGCCACCTGGTGGCCACGTAGCCAGGTCTCACTCTCCGCCCCTCTTTCTGGCAGTCCACAGGATGAGGTGGCCTCAGCATCTTCCTCAGGGTAATGGGACCACAGCAGCCGCCTCACCCGTGCCAACTCCCTCCCCTTGCAGCGTCCTGTTTCAGGAACATGCGGAGCCCATTGTACCTCGGGGTTTTGGCACTGGCTGTTTCTTCAGCCTGGGATTTGTCCCCCCTCAGCTTTCTTGTGGGATGGAACCTGTCATTCTGGTCTATGCTCAAATGCCATTTGACCACTGACCTGAACAGCATCCCCAGAAACTAACATACTACTCTTTTCTGCAGGGTGCTTAGATATCTTAAGGGTTTACTGAACATCTTCCAACTGTTCCCTGAACTCTCTAGGGTGGGGAATGAGTGGCCCGTGAGGGATTAGGACTGAGTCAGGATCAAGTCCTAGGAGATTTCAAGTGGTCTCCCTGGGCCCCTAACACCTCTGCCCTGACCCTATGAGGAGGGAGTGTTCAGGGTTGCCAGGCAACCCAGGCAGATGGGAAAGGGCCCTGTCCTGTGTGTATAACTTCCACTACCTCCCACCCCTACCCCAGGCCTTGCTCAACAAGGGATCAGGTTGGAGAAGAGAGGCCCCTTACCCATAAATCATCCAGGCCTAGGGGGAGGGCATCTACTTTCTCTCTCTTTAATCTCGCTTTGCTGTCTTGACAGTTCCAGCAGTGCAGCCCCAATCGACATCTCCAGAGACAGGGGACCAGCCCTGGGGCGGGGCAGGGGTGCCACCTTCTGGCTTGTGGTCCAGGAGACCCTCCCCCCCGTGGCTGCCCGACCCAGCAGGCTCAGGAGTGGCATCAGTGGACGAATAAATAGGGGTGGTCAGTGGTTGGGTAGGTCAAGTGGGCTTGTGGTCTGGGTGGCTTTTGAGAGTGTGGAACTTGACGCTGTCCAGCTTCTCGAAACGCTTCCCGCAGCGCTCGCATGTGAAATTGTACTGCACCTCTGCCGTGTGCTTCTTCATATGCCAGTTGAGCGAAGCGCGCTGTCGGCACTGGTAGCCACAGATCTCACACCTGCCAGGAGTCAGGGCGGAGTCAGTGCGGACAGGGCGGGACCAGAAAGGGACTGCGCCATCTGGGACCAGAATACAGGTAGAACTGGGCATAGCAACCCCTGGGGTGGAGCTCCCCCGTGGGACCTGCCCTGTGCTGGTCCAGGCCCGATCTCCTCCCTCCTAGTACCCTCGAACGACGCCTGTCACTTACTGCAGGGGTGTCTCCCCAGTGTGCGTGCGCCGGTGTACCTCCAGGTGGTTCTTCCTTTTGAAGGATTTGCCACAGGTCTCACAGGTGAATTCACGAACACCTAGAAGAAACACAAGGCTGAGGACGCCACCCTTGGGGAGGGTGCTATGGAGTGTCTCCACTGTGCTAGAGAGACCAGGTAGAACACAGATAAACCAAACCCCCACATCCTCCCAGCTTGAATGTCAACTCTAATGACTAGAGGAACTAATAAAAAGGGAGGCTCATGGCCATTGCCCAAGAATGCCCCCCACAGGGATGGAATATGAACTTGGATCCCTGAGGGGCACACAGTGAAGATTATTTGAATTTGACCCCAATATTTGGATTTTGGAGCAATTTCACATAAAAATCCTAATTTCTAGTCTCAAAGATTCTGAATCCATGCCCTCTTGCTGGGCACAGGCACCAATGCTGGCCACTATGCCAGCAGCTCACACCCTGGGTCAAGGAGGTGCTTGGAACAGAACAGAGGCCCTGTCCCAAGCTCAATCCCCTTCAGGGTGGTTCAGCCCTGGAACTGCTCCAGCACGAGATCTGCTTGTAGGAGTGGGGAGGACAGGGGGATCCAAGTTGGAGAAGAGACAGCTAGTCCCTGCCCATCTCCCCGTGATTTATAACAGTCAGTGTTACTGTGAATTGTGAAGCTCCAGCCCCCAGCATCAGGGAGGTGCCCACCATCCCATGCCAGTCCATGTGGAGGACAGGCAGGAAACTCTGAGAAAGGCAGTCCTGTCTCCAGGTATGACCCCACCTGAACCTACTCTGGCTCCAAGGCCCAGGCCCCTGTGCCCCAGGGCCTGACCTGAGTGGATGATCATGTGTCGCCGTAGGTGGTTGGATAAATAGAACTTCTTGCCACAGCCAGGGTGAGGGCATACTTTGGTCTTCCCTTTTCGATGCACAAGGTTGACATGGTTCTGGGGATGAGAGGAGCAAGAATGGTGCTGTGGGTGGTGTAGGGACAGGTGAGGGCTGCAGGGAGGCAGGCTGGGGCAACTTCACTGGAGGAGGGAAGAGGGGTGCCCTTGCCTTTGGGATGAACTGCCAACTCCGAGCTGGGGTCCAGGGACACGAGTGGGATAAAACAGCAGCTTTACTAATCACCTACCCCAGCCAGGCTCTGGGCTGGGTGATCAGTGAACCTTGTCATAACCCCGTGAAGGGGCCTAGCCATCAGCCCAGTTTATGGATAGGGAAACTGAGGCACTAGAGGCTTAGTGGTTTGCCCAGGGACACACAGGCAAGCAGTGGCAGGGCTGGGAAAGGATTCGAGGGCTGTCAGCCCCACAGCAGGCTCTTTGCTATAGTGCTATGCTGCCCCCAAGGTCTGAAGCAGGCAGCCTTTGAGTCATTCATTCCTTTGTCCTTTAGCTCACTAGTACATCTGTAGCTTCAGTGTCTAGCATAAGGCCTGGTACTAGTAGGTGCTCAATACATGCTTAATGAAAACATGATTTGGCATATTCAAGGGCCTACTTGTGATACCTCTTGTGCCCAGAGTGGGGATATGACAAGATCCTGTCTCTGCCCTTGGAGTGTCTCATCCAGGCCCAGTGGGCAAACTGCAGGTACATTCTGGTGGTGCAGTGAACTGAAGCTTGAAAGCCCCACCACCTTGGGGGACTGGGCTGGGCTTCCTGGTAGAGGGGCATCCTGAGCTAAGAGGGTGGCCTGGGCAGAAATGGTAGAAGTTTGAGCAGCTGGAAGAGCAGAAGTGTGTGGGGAGCCACCAGGCCAGGTACAGGCAGCCACTTACGGTGTGTAGAGAAGCTGTGGGTGGTTGAGACAGGACAGGTATACTGGAGGTAGGTGGGCATATGGGGGGGCAGGACTGTGGCACCTGCTGGGGGCCGGTAGGGCCCTCCATGAGACAGACAGCTAGGCACAGAAGCAGATCCTGCCCAGCCATTTGGGTGTTAGCCTCACCTGGAAACTACTAAGAGCCACATACACTTGGCTGCAGCCCTCATAGGGACAGTGGAACATCTCAAGCAGGCCGTCAGCATCCATCACCCGTGACCGCTTGCTCCTTCGCCTCCTGGAGAAGAAGGGCCCATGGACTCAGGGCTCCCACACCAGACCACTGTCCTCATCCCCGTCCCCGCCCACCTGACACCCACTTCTCAGGCTCCTTGGGGATCTCGTAGATGATGGCTGACATGTCACTGCCATCCAGCTCCTCCCCATCTGCCTCTGCCTCAGGCTGTGCACTCTCAGGCACTGTCGCTGCCAGCTCTGTCAGCTCTGGGGCCACCGGCTCCTCCTTTTCCTTCTTGAGCACGTACAGGTCCTCCTTCTCTACGGGGTGGACACAGGGCAGGTGTCCATGGGGACTAAGGCCATCAAGGAGTCCACTCTGGGGCCACTCCTTGCCCTCCCTCTCTCAGGTCCCCCCTCTCCCCCAACTAGTACAGTCCCCCAGACCTTTCTTGGTCTCCATGCCTGCCATGGCGGTGGGGTCCATAGTGCTGGGTTGGCTGCCCTCAGGCTCCGTCTGGGTGTAGGCTGCCACACCCTCCATCATGGTGCAGGGCACCTCGTCACCCAGGCCCCCGCTGGGGGCACCGCTGCCTGCTGCTACATTGAGGTGGATGCCTTCAGCCGTGAGGGCATCATAGCCTGGGCCTGCGATGATGATCACCTGAGAGCCAGGCACCATGCCTGGCATGGGACAGCTGGCTACCACCTCGCCCAATGCCTCTTGGGGCATGTTCTCAAAAAGGGTACCAGGGCCTGGGCCCACTTGCACAGGCACCGGCATGCACACCACCGTCTCCAAAGCTTCCGGCCCACTGCCTGCTGGGTTGGGGCACAGTGTGGCGCCCTGCTCAGCCAGGCTCTCCACATGGTGGACGTCGAAAGGGATGTGCACACCCTCTTGCGTGATGAGCCCACTGCTGCCTGCTGGGCTGGTGGGTGTAACCGCTGCTGCTGCTACCGTCACCTTGGCTGGCTGGCCTTCAGGGGGCTCCTCAGAGTCGGAGCCAGAGCAGGAGCTGGACGAGTCAGAGCTGCCGGCCACCAGACCATTGTCCACTGTGGTGACAGAAGAAAGGAGATGATTACAATAGTGGTGGCAACAGCTGGTGTTTGTTGAGGGCTCACTAGGGGCTGGGCACTGTGATTCCTCACTGACACAAATAGTGGTCACTTCTCAGTCATCATCCTCCTCAATCACCCCTGATCTTCAAAGAAGCTCTCCTCCCTTGGCCTTGGGCCCAGTTCAGTTCCCTAAACTCCTCCCTGGTGGTTCCTTCTCAGCCTCTTTTGCTCTTACAGGTCTGGAATGTTCTAGCTGGGGCCTCTCCTGAGTGCTCTGATGAGATCACCCCAGGGTTTCAGCTGGGCTGATGGTGTTAAATACTGCCCTGATTCTACCACCACCCGGGTGTCAACAATTCAGTGCAATTCTCACACTATCCACTTGGAGTTAGTTTCAGACCCCAGAAGAATGACCCCACTTCAGATGCCAGCTGCAAATCCCAGGCCCCCTATACTTCTGGCTATGGACATGTTCAGGTTTGATAATTTGTTAGAATGGCTCAAAGAACTCAGTAAAATGCTCCACTTCTGATTACAGTTTTATTCTAAAGGACATAACTCAGCAACAGCCAGATGAAAGAGATGTATAGGGCAAGGTGCAGGGGCAGGGGCACAGAGCTGTCGTGCCCTCTCCAGATGTACCACCCTCTCAGTACCTCCACATGTTCACCAACCCGGAAGCTCTCTGAATCACACTGTTCAAGAGTTTTTAATAACCCAGTCTCCAGGCCCTGACCACTGCCCAGGGGTTGGGTGTAGGGCTGAGAGATAGTGTTCCTCGAATCACAAATTGAGTGTTTCCCTGAAGCTATTTAAGGGCCCCTCCCTGAGTCACATTATTAGCATTAGAGCCCAGGTGTGTTTCAAAGGGGCTCCTTAGCAAAGGAACTCATTATGATAAAATTCCTATCTCGCAGGGAATTCCAAGGGTTTTAGTAGCTCTATGCCAGGAATTAAGAACAAAGATCAAGTATCTATTTTTATGGTGTTGCCACCACCTATACCCTGGTGCCTCCATGTGAGCAGCTCCCATTCTGTGGAGCTGCAGACTATTATTACATCCCATTGTTTTCTCTGCTGACCCACCCCCGAGGGGTCTCCCAGGCATCTCACACTGCTCTCAGCAGCTCTGGGCTCTGAGCCTTCCCTCAGAAAAAGCCTGCAGCATTCATGGATGTGCCTGTCCAAGTGGATGGCAGCTCTGTTCTCTTAGTTGCCTAGGCCAAGTCCTGGGGCTATCCTAGACTTCTCCCTTTCTCACACCTACTTCCAATCTGTCAGCAAAACCTGTTGGCACTGCATTCAAAATACATCTGAAGGCTGACAGCTTCTCCCACCTCCCCTGTACATGCCTAGACCATGCAGTCCCTTCTCCCTGGTCCTCCAGCTTCCACCATCCCCCCCCCCCCCCCCCCCCCGCCCCGTCTGTCCTACCTACAGCGGCCACAGGGAGTCTGTGAATACCTGCTTAGGTCATATCCCTCTTTGAGAACATGCTCATCACTTTCCATGAAAGAGACAGGCCAGCTGCTCACCAAACCTGAGTCTCTTCATTCTGGCACCCGAGTGGACTACATTTCCTAGCATTTTTATTTTATTTTATTTTTTTATCCTCACCCGAGAACATTTTTCCATTTTTTGTTCAGATAGAGTGGGAGGGAAAGAGAGAGAGAGAGAGAAACATCGACATGAAAGGGACACATTGAGTGACTGCCATCCGCACGACCCAACCAGGGCCGGGGACAAACTGCAACTGAGGTATGTGCTCTTAGCGGGAAATGAACCCGGGTCTCTCTGGACCGCAGGCTGATGCTCTAACCGCTGAGCAAAACCGGCCAGGGCTCCTAGCATTCTTTCTAGACAGGTGTTGCCATAGGGCTGAGTTCCAATGCAATGTGAGTGGCAGTGAGCTCCCAATCATGAACTTCCACCTCTGTTCCCACCAGCCAGCCAGGACTCAGAGGATGTTGGAGCCGCAGGACAGAAAGAACCTGGGTCCTGGGATGGAACGCAATTTGCAGGTGTGTCTATTTCAGCAGCCGGCCTTACTTCAGTTAATACTCTTCCTAATTCACTTGGCACAGCAGCCAACATGCTCACTGAAGCCATATGGCCTGCACCTACTTTTCAGCTCTACTGACCTCCCTCCCATGCTTAGGGACACTAGACAACTTTCTCCCTCAGGGTCTTTGCACTTGCCACTTGCTCTGCCTGAACTCTCAGACACCTATGTGGGCTCTTTTACCTTCATCACTGGTATTTTTCAGGAGACCTCTGACCATCTTGTCTCAAATAGTACCCTTTTCTCTCCTTTTGTTCCCCCCACAAATACTTCCCACCTTCCAGTGTACTCTGGATTTTATTTGTCTATCTTGTTTACTGTCTGCTTTTCCTCTAGATAGTAAACTCCACAAGTTTACCTGTGCACAGTCCCCAGCGCCAAGAAGGCTACATGGTACACAGTGAGCATACATTTGCAAAAATGAACGACTCTCAGACCAAGGCTGTGATGAAGGCCAAGGGGGCTGACATCTTACTCAGGCATTTGGTACTAATATCCCCACACAGGGAGAAAGTGGGGACAGGAAAAATGAATGATTGTTCCTTAAGTCACACACTCGTGACACAGTGGGGCACACTGCCTGGGAACCACATGTCCTATACCCCCAGAGGTTCACACAGAGGGTGCAGGTTCTGGAGCCAGACTGCAGCAGCGGGAGGGGACCCCAGTGCTTGCTCTTCCAGCTGTGTGAACACAGGCGCCTTATGTAACCCCTCTGGGCCTGGGGATCATTTGGTACCTACCTCAGGGGATACTTTGGGTATTTAACAAGTAAATATGTGTAAAAGGCTTAGGACACTACCAGCTTGAAGTAAGCACCCTATCAATGTTTCCCACTATCTTTAATATCCTAATGCCCCATTCTGAGACAGGCTCTGGGGTGGCAACAGGGGCAGTAGAGGGATTAGCCCCTCCTTCCAATACCCTATAATCTGGGATGAGCCCCGGCTCCACCCTGAAGGAGGGGCAATCCCCTAATGAGTAGGAAGCATAGCTGGGTGTACATCAGGGTCCCTGAGTGCAGTGTTCAGCTGCCAAGGCTGACACTGAATTTTACTCAAGATAATAATAACGCTCACAACAGAAATGACCGTGTACTGCAGGAACAGAGCAGACATGGGTGCTGCTTGAGGGAAAGGGCTGGCCCAGGGACACAGCACTCTCTCAGCAGCCCCCAGTAGTCACAGCAGACCTGGAATCGATCCCAGTGGTCATTCCTAAGAGCCCAGATCTAGAAGCTGGTAGTGTAAAAGTTAGGTTGGGGTACAAGGAGGCTCCTCCTGGTGTCACCCCCATCCCAGCTGGATCCATCACCAGATGGGCCAGTCATGTTATTCCCAGAACCTTAGTTTCCTCAACTGCTCAGTGGCACTAATGACAGGACAGTGAAGAGAACTCAGGGTGGTTTGGGGTGGACCTGGAGCCAGAGTACAGGACAAGATGGCTGAGGCGCATGTTCATACTAGGGACCTGACTAACACACAAACAGGATGGCTGCTGGCCAGGGTGCCCACCTAGAACACCTCTCATCCATGGCTTCCCCTGCCAGCTGGGATGCCATCTGCTCCAAGATGCCTGCCAGCTTGAACTCGGCCCTGGTGACTGACCCCACCCTCGGCCCTAGCAGGGCACCTGGCAGTGGGCCCCACACTCCTCTCAGCCCACGCCAAGCCTCTGAGGCAGGCGGGAAGCCCCTCACCACTCACAGCATATCCTTGCTCCTCTCACTGGACCTTTGTAACTGAGTCCCTCCCAGTCCTGAGCTGGAAGCCAGTCCCTGGGTGTGATCAACATAGGGTGGCAGGAGAGGAGCAGAGACAGTGAGAGATGGGCAGGGTGGGGTGACAGAAGGATAGAGAATGAGAGAAAGAAAGAGTATGAAATGGGGGGACAGAGAGAGACAGTGGGAGGAGGCAGGGAAAAGGAAGGAGACAGAAGACAGGAAGAGAGAAAGAACAAAACACAGAAAGATGAGAGAGACAGCAGAGAAAGGAAGAAGGAGAGCAGGATGGAGAGAGGGAAAGAGGATGAGACTGGGAGAAAGAGACCTTGAACCCAAGAAAGTGCTGGAAAAAATAAAGGAGGAGGAAGAAGCCAGGAGAGAAGAGCCACCCTAGGAGTCTGAGGCCCATGACCCTTCCCTTCTTCCAGTGCCTGAGCCAGGTTTTCTGGATTCCAAGTCCAGCAGTGCCTGCAACTGGCCTTGGGCACAGGTGGGCAAACTGCCCTGGGCCTCAGCTGTCCCTCTGTAAAATGGGAACTGCATCTCGGGATCTGTAAGAACTCAAGGATTGCAGCCTGGCCGGATGAGTCTGCGCTCTGTCCCTGAAGCCAGCACTAGTGCCATCTAGTTGCTGAGATGTTTGTGATGCTGGCTCGAGGCTAGCAAGACCCAGGAGGGTAGGGAGTCCAGGGCAACTCTCGCCATGAGGAGGTGTAGACCCCCAGACACCAGAGGCCACCTTATGCTCTCACTCCTAAGACCCACCTTTGTCACTGTCTGGGTCTGAGTCGCTGAGTGGCTTCAGGGGTGAGTGCAGGTCTTGAAAGTAGCGGTGGCCGGCTTCACATTGCCATACGGCTGTGGTGTATAGGCCAAAGGTGGGGTCCAGCTCAGCCAGGTGCGGCTCGTATGGACAGCGGTGCTTGTGGTCCTCGTACCAGATCACCACATTCTTTAGGCAGTTCACGTTGCGTCGACGCCCTATGCACACAAGGCCGGGGCAGGCATAAGGAGCATGGCTATGCCACCCAGGGCAGTGCAACCCCTAGAAGTACCGGGCCTTCTGGTTCTTGGGGGTTGAGACACTGTCCTGAACGCTGTCAAGGCCTGTCTTCAGTTTATGGGTAAAGAAACTGAGGCTCAGAGAGATCAGACACACCCTGGAGGAATCAAAGACTGGCCAGAGACCGTACTCACTAAATAAGTCATATAAACAGTGGGCACGGCCATAGAAGGTGCACAGTCACTGTTAGCTGCTGCTTATTGTTATGATTAGTCCCTTGGCCCTGACCTGCTCGCATCTTGGCTTCCTAGAGTCAATTCCTTCCATAGCCGCCAATGGATGCTTGTAAACACCTGAGTCAGGTCCCATCCCTCCTCTGCTCAGAACCTTCCATAGCTCCCACCTCACTGGCTGGGAAAGTCACAATCCTCCCAGAGGCTTACATATTCTGCCCAGGAACCCATGTCCTCATCTCCTCTCACCCTTCCCCTTGCTCACTCCACTCCAGCCTTATGGTCTCCTCCCTGGTCCTCAACTGAGCCAGGTATGGTCCAGCCTCAGAGCCTTTGCATTGGCTGTATCCTCTTCCACCAGATAATTGCCCTCTCACCTCCTCCTTCACTCAGGTCTTTCCCTTGCTTGGCCACCCTGTCTTCCCTATCTCTCTAGTCAACCTGACTTGCTGTCCTTTTTCTCCAGGTAGTACCTAGATACCATCTATGCTTATTTGTTTTCATGTTTCTGGTCTCTCTCCCACACTAGATGTCAGCTCCCCAAGAGCAGGGTCACTTTCTGTGTTGTTCCTCCTGCATACCCAGCACCTACATATAGTAGGTGCTAGAAGAGTACACACTGTGAGTGGGTGGGAACAGTAGAGCCAAACCACCGGGGTTCAAATCCTGGCTCTGCCACTTCCTAGCTGAGTGGCTCCAGGCAAGTGACTTGGCTTCTCTGAACCTCAGTTGCCCCCTCTGGTCAGGGGAGGAAAAGGGTCCCCATTTCCTGAAGGCTGACAGGGAGGAGGTTAGAAGGTGAAGACATTGACAGGGCACAGAATGGCATACTGCGAGTACCTAAGAATTGGTACCAGAGATATATGTGATGATTCTGGTCCCTCAGCCGCGTGGGAAAAAGGTATGCCTCTGACCTTCCAGCCTAGGAAATGAGGACTGGCCCAGGAAAGGTCCTTGGTCCTAGGAGGGTGCCTGGGGTCTCCAACACAGTCACAACCATGGGGACACCACCAGCAAGCTGCCTCCTTAGCCTAGAACTTGCCTCCTTATCTTCTTCATTCTCATACCTCTGGGATTGGGGGGGGGGGGTGTCACAGTCTTAGCTCACCTGGTCCCTGCTTCTGAGAACTATGAGAATGGGAGGGGCTTACTGCCACCAGAAGGCTGTCCCTGGACAGCTGGCTCTCACCCTGCTAGACATGGCTCAAGACCCACGGCCCCAGGGCTCAGGGGCAGGAGGGACGTGCCCCAGGCCTCTGCTCTGACTGCCCACGCCCAGCTCCTCTTGAGCCTGGCACAATATGCCCTTTAGGCTCTGGCACAAGCTGTTCCCTCTGCTCTGCCTGGTTCTACCCTGGCTGACTCCCACACACTGGGCAGGAAAGCAGAGGAGCTAAGGGGACTACTTTGGAGACATGAGGACCTAAGTTTGCAGACTGGCCCTGCCACTTTCCAGCTGTGAAGCCTGGGGCAGTGCCTGAATATCTTTGTGAGTAAGATGGGGAAGATGAGGGCACCTTAGCTGGGCATAGCACAGGTTCCTTTGGCCCACTCCAGACTGGGTCAGGCTCCTTCTCTGGTCCCCAGTGCCCTAACCTACCTCTCCCTTTAGTCACAGCCCTGTTCAGCCTGTTGCTTGTCTTTTTTAAGAGACTGTGCGCTCTGGGAGGACAGAGCTGGGTCTGCCTTGTTCCACACAGTGCCTGGCACATGCAGGCTCTCCACAAATGATCTCTGAGAGAATAAGGGAATGAGGAAGGGAGGGAACAACAAAGCCAGTAACTCCCAACACCCATCCCTCCCCCCTGGCTGCAACCCCACTTACTTTTCTTCCTCTTTGGCTTTTTGGGGACCTGCTCCCAAGGCTTCCTGTAACAGAGAGAGGTAGGGGGGAGTGACGCAGAGCCTAACTGATGATGACATAATGACAGAAACTCTGGTTACCCCTCTTCCTGCTCTGGGGGCAAGATGTTAGCTTCTGGTTCCTGAGCATGTTCTCATGGCCTTTCACTTGGGCTCTCTCCTACATGGACAACAGCTCTTTGGAGGGAGTGTCATCATCCACCTCACAGAGGGGGAAATGGAGGTCAGAGGGGTGAGGCTACCAGCCCAGATCCCATGACTAGGGAGTGAAGAGGTCAGAAAATGGTACAGAAAGTTAGTACCTCTTTCTGTACCCCTTTCTGATTTCTCCATGGCCCCATGATCACAACCCCCAGGATACACACCCTTTATCATCCTTTCCCCATGAATAGGGCATGCCTATGAATATGAAGAGATACCACACCTGTGGCTGGGTGACTGGATTAACCAAGAGGGATTTTACTGAGGTAGGCCTGATCTAATCAGGGGAGTCCTTACAAGGATCCTGCTGAAGTCAGAAGCCAGAGGCTAAGAACATAAGGGGGCCTATGAGGGGCCACGTGGCAAGGACCTGAGAACAGATGGCCTCTGGGAGCTGAGAGCCATCCCACTGACAGCCAGCAAGACTGCAGGGACCTCAGTCCTACAACCACAAACATGTGAATTCTGCCAACACTATGAAAAATTCTGGGAGATCTTTCCCTAGTTTAGCCTCTAGTTCAGGGTGGGGAACATCATTCCCCAAGGGCCCTTCCCATACAAGGCCCGCAAAATCAATACCAGTTAACATCACATGCCTCACCAAATCAGCCTGACCAAATATAGAAGACTATTTTTTTTTTTTTTTTTAGAGAGAGAGGAAGGGAGAGGAAGAGAGAGACAGAAACATCGATGAGAGAGAACATCGATTGGCTGCCTCTTGCATGCCCCCCACTGGGAATGGGCCCATGACCTGAACGTGTGCCCTGACCAGAAATCGAACCAGCAACCTCTTGTACATAAGGTCAACACTCAACCACTGAGCCACACTGGCTGGGCAAGCAGGCTAATTTTTAAGTTGATAAATTTGTATGGCCCGCGAATGATGTTATAAATATCCAAATGGCGCCCTGGCCGGTTTGGCTCAGCGGTTAAAACATCGGCCTGCAGTCCAGAGAGACCCGGGTTCGGTTCCCACTAAGGGCATGTACCTTGGTTGCAGTTTGTTCCCGGCCCTGGTTGGTCGTGCGGGTGGCAGCCACTCGATGTGTCCCTTTCACATCGATGTTTCTCTCTCTCTCTCTCCCTCCCACTCTATCTGAACAAAGAATGAAAAAGTGTCCTCGGGTGAGGATAGATAGATAGATAGATAGATAGATAAATAAATAAATAAATAAATATCCAAATGGCCCTTGGCAGAAAAGAAGTTCCTCACCCCTGCTCTAGATGAAGACACAGTTGGCTGATACCTTGATTTCAGCCTTGTGAGACCCTGAGCTGAGGACTCAGCTAAAATGTGCCAGACTCCTGACCCACAGTGAGCTAATCAATTTGTGTAGTTTTAAGCCTTAAGTTTGTGGTCATTTGTTATATAATAAAAGAACCTGGGCTGTCCCATCCAGGGTCCTGAAATGCCTGCCCGCCAGGCTGGCCGAGAGCCCGGGGAAATTGTCAGACATAGCCTGGAGGGCTGGCATTCCTCCCTGACCCTAAGTGCCTGTCTATGAGGGCATCAGCCCAAGGTGCTGCCCTCCTCTAGCAGTCCTGCTTCTTCAGCCTAGTCAGGCCCAATCAGACACCTGCCTCTGGGACCTTCCTCACCCTGACTGACTGAGTCCCAACACCCCCACTGCCTGCCCCACAGTGAGCCATGGCCTCGGGGAGCCCAGGTTAGGGCTGGGCCCAAAGACCAGGCCCCTCATGGCCTCCCACACCAGGATGGCCATCAGATTTTGCCAGGCAGGTTCCTGACTCCACTTGGGCCTCCTGGCTATGGCCCAGCACTTGCTCTACACAGACTGAGGGCAGGCACATTGGAGGCATCTCTCTCAGACCTGGTAGGGGCTTTCCTCTGCCTTTCTGCCACCATGCTTCCAAGTCTGCCCACTTCACCCTGGCGGATTTCTTGTTCATCTAAGCTGCAGCAGCAGGTTTGGTGACCCTGGGTGAGTGACCTTGCCTCCATGTGCCTCAGTTTCCCCATCTGCAGCATGGGATCATAACAGCAACTTCCTCATGAGGTTGATATGAGGTTATGTCCATTATAAAAAGCTTGGTGCAGCTTTGGAAATTAGAAATCACTCAGCAAATGGTGACAATAATCATTATGATTATCAATATTATCAGAGCCAGGCCCTGGAACACTGACCTCACTCCTGTAGCCAGAGCCACGCTCTTGCCGTACGTATTCTGACAGCCAATCCAGGGTCTCTCCTCAGCTCCACTGCCCATCCCTTCAGTCCCCCATCCAGACTGATAACAATTCTTGGCCCCCATACCCCAAGTCTGGTCCAAGAATAGCTCCTCAGGACTCTTTGTCTTTCCTGTCCTGGGCTCTAACCTCTGCCTGGGGATCTGCTCCTCTCTGCCCCATCCCAGGAGGCTCTATCCCTCCAAGGGGCCAGACTGCCCGATCCTCCTCCAAACCCAAGTCCAAACATTCATGCCACCTACAATCACTCATGGCCTTGCCATGGCTGGGGTGCTGGGAACACCATATTGTGGTGGGAACAGGTTTGGCATTGGTCAGATCCCAGTTTAAGTCTCATCTCTGTTACTAACTGTGTGACCTCAAGCAGGTGTCATCCCCTCTGAACCTCAGTTTCCTAATCTATGAAGTGGGAATAACAGCAGTGCCTCCCACATAGAGTTGCTATGAGGATTAAATGAGGTCAGGCCACATTCTGACCTTAATGTGGCGCTTTCTCCTTCAACCCAAACTACATTCCCCCACTGCCCGCCTCTCCAAGTTCTACCGTCTCTGTGACTCCCGGTAGTGGCATTTGAAGAAAACAGTTGTTGAGGCTTCTCCAGGGCCTGGCTGTACTTTCCTTTTAGTGGCCAGCCCCAAATGGTGGCTAGCAACAACAGTCCCTCACTCTCCTTTGCCCTTCAATTTCACTTTTGACTTGATATTCCCACCAGCATCCAAACACGTTGGTATTTCTAATATCTTTGATACCAACTTTTGCCCCATTCCTTTACCACTGTGTCTGAGTTGTCTACACTCTTGGTTTCCATGTCTGTTCCTTCATCTCCCTTGAGCCCCTCTGGTCAGGGTTTTTCTCCACCATGCCACAGACTGCCCAGTTACAGCCACCAGGGATGGCTGCCTCATTCAGCCCAGCAGTATTTGACCATTAGATCCTTCCCATGGCCTCCAGGACACCCCCCACTTGTTCCTCTGCTTGCTTCCCAGGCTGCTGCTTCTTCCTCTTCTCCCTGACTTCTGGAAGTATGGAGAATGGTAATGGGCTCACAGTGATGTGCTCCGTCCATGCACACCCCCTTGGCAAGCTCCATCACCATACCATCGCCTCCCTGATGACTCCCATATTCACATCTCCTGATTGGCTCTCTCCCCACCACAACACCACCTCCATCCATTCCCTGATACCTCATGTTGGAGTCTCACAAGCAAGCTATCATTTTGTTCTCCAACATGGCCCCTCTCAGTTAACAGCAACTAAAACTTTCTAGATGCTCAGGCCCGAACCTGGGACGTCTTTCATATCTACACACATTGGAGAACACTGCTGGTTTAACCACTTCTCTCCATTTCTCATTACCCTGGCTGGGGCCAGCCCCATCATGGCTCACCATCATGGACCAGTGTAGTCATCTGCTCTCCCTCCCACAGTCAGGATGATTCTTTTGATTTTCTTGTTAAGAGTTTAGGATGTGAGCCCTGGCCGGTTTGGCTCAGCGGTTGGAGCGTCGGCCTGTGGTACAGAGAGACCCGGGTTCGGTTCCCGCTAAGGGCACATACCTCGGTTGCAGTCTGTCCCCAGCCCTGGTTGGTCGTGTGGGTGGCAGCCACTCGATGTGTCCCTTCACATCGATGTTTCTCTCTCTCTCTCTTCCTCTCTCTCCCTCCCGCTCTATCTGAACAAAAAATGGAAAAATGTCCTCGGGTGAGGATAAAAAAAAAAAAAAAAAAAGAGTTTAGGATGTGAAAAGAAAAATGCAAACACACAAAGCTAGAGAGAAGAGTAGACTGAACCTCCTTGAACTCATCACCAGCTTTAGTAATTGTCAACTCTTGGCCAACCTTCTTGCAACTCATACCCCACCCATTCCTCCCGCCACACACACCCTGGGAGTGCTTCTTTTAAGCCAGATATATGACTTCTCTACACTTATAAAGGGAACTCAAATTCTGCACTTAAGGAAGGAAAAAAAATATCCCACCAGAGCTCCCACTTCACTAGAAGGAAACAGAGTCCTCCTTACAGCCCAAAAGGTCCTGGCACCTTCCTGCCCTCATCTTCTCCCACTCCTCTCCCTCACTCATTGTGCTCCAGCCACATGTTCCCCTCACTGCCCCATGTACACATCAGGACACCAGACAGGGTCCTGTCTCAGGGCCTTTGGACTTGTTATTCCTTCTTTCTCTAATACTTTTCCCCTGGATATCTGCATGGTTCTCCCTGGCCTCCTTCAGGTATTTACTCAAATGCTATCTTCTCAAGGTGGCCCCACAATGATACCCTATTTAAAACTCCAGCTCACACTTCTGATTCCTCTTTCTTTATTTCACTTTTGTTTTTTCCACAGCCCCTATCAATCTCTCACATACTACATAATTTATTTATGTTTCTTGTCTGCAGTAGACAAGCCTTTGCACACTAGGCAAGCCTCTGCCTTTTAAAATGTCAGCTCCATGAGGTAGCAATCTTTGTTTTGTTTATTGCTGTACTTTTAGCATCTATACAGATGCTTGGCACATAGTAGGTGCTCAATAAGTGTTCTTTAAACAAAGAAATGAAAAAAAAAACAGGAAATTCCACCACTGACCATTGTTTCCCTTTTCCCACCAGACGCCAAGGCAAATTCATGGCATATTCACCATTACCATCTGCTCAAGTTTTCACCTCACCATGTCACAAAACTGGCCTTGTCATGTCCCCTATTTATGTCTCAATCCAACAGCAATGATCCTGGCCCCACTTTGTCGTTTATTTTCCTTTCTCTTTTCACCCTGCTTTTCATTTCTGTCTTCTTGTTCATGTTTTACAGCCTTTGAACTGAAATCTTTCCAAGCACAAGATAGGTTATAAATAATTGAGCAACTGAAATAATTGACCCCCTATCGTTGGTCATGTCTACTCCCTGTAAGATATCCCTCACCCAGGTTAGTGTATTTTCCCAATTACCCATGGGCCCTGGGGCCACGTTTTTGCCACCCACTGCCTGGGTTGTCTCAGTGTCCTTGCCCCAGTCCTGCAAGCCCACAGTTCCTACTCAGCCAAATCAAGCTTCCACAAACACCACTTTCAGCTTAGGAACCTCCAGCGGCTCCCTCTAGCCAGTTGTTCTCCAGCTGCACATCAAGTCTCCCTGGAAAGCTTAGCATAAAAACAACAACACAGGGCCCTGGCCAGTTTGGCTCAGCAGTTAGAGCGTCGGCCTGTGGTCCAGAGAGACCCAGGTTCATTTCCCACTAAGGGCATGTACCTCAGTTGCAGTTTGTCCCCGGCCCTGGTTGGGTCGTGTGGGTGGCAGCCACTCGATGTGTCCCTTTCACGTCGATGTTTCTCTCTCTCTTCCTCTCTCTCCCTCTCACTCTATCTGAACAAACAATGGAAAAATGTCGATGTTTCTCTCTCTCTTCCTCTCTCTCCCTCTCACTCTATCTGAACAAACAATGAAAAAATGTCCTCGGGTGAGGATAAAAATAAATAAATAAATAAATACAAACACAGGGTCTGTAGCTCCACCCAGACTAACTGAATCAGAAACTCTAATAGTGTAATACTGGCTTGTCTTTTAAACACCCAGCATTTCCTGTCCTGCTCTTGGGCATATAAACCAGCCTACCACCCTGAGAAGCGGGTGGGTACAATTTCGGCAGGATCAGGTTGATTCGTGATCCTCAGAATTTACCCCCAGGAGGAACATGCAAACGTGTGCAAATAAAACCTGGGCAGAAAAAGGATTTCTGTCGCAGAACTGCTTGTGATACTGAACACACATCATTCTTTTTTTTTTTAATCCTCATCAGAGGACATTTTTTAGTATTTTGTTCAGATACAGTGGGAGGGAGAGAGAGAGAAACATCAACGTGAAAGGGACACATCGAGTGGTTGCCACCCACACAACCCAACCAGGGCCGGGGACAAACTGCAACCGAGGTACGTGCCCTTAAAGGGAACCAAACCCAGGTCTCTCCGGACCGCAGGCCGACGCTCTAACCGCTGGGCAAACCGGCCGGGGCACACATCATTCTAATAGCTAATATCTGGAGTGCTAAGCGCCAGCACTGTTCTAAGCCCTTTGCTGTAATTTAGCTCATTTAATCATCACATCAACCTATAATGCTGGAAGCGAGAAATTTCACCAACACTGCTCATTCTCAAGATTGAGACTGCAAAGGCCTCTGCCTTCCACCTGTGAGGCTAAATTAGGGCTTTCTCTTCACCCTGGGCTGAGGTGCTCCTCAGGAGCCAAGAGCTTTAGAGGAATAAAATCTGGATCGTGAAGGGTTCTCAGGGTAGGCGGGGTCGAGGGTTGTGGGAATGGGGCCACTCAGAGTCCTAGCTGGGACATCGGAACCTTACGAAGGGCAGGGCTGGGTGGTCCAAAGTGTGCAGTCAAGCAGTCACAGTCTCAGGCTACACTGTATGGATAGAGGTCTGTGAGATATGAGGGGCAGTAGGGACCCCCGGCCACTGAGGCCTCAGGGGACCGGGCCATCCTTCCAGGTACTAGGTAGTTAGAACGCTTGGAGGCGTAGCCCGTACCAGGATTGGTCAGCCAGAGCGCTAGCGGGCGGGGCAAACACCCAGGAGGCGGGTCCGAGGCTAGACGCATCCTAGGATTGGGCAGTCAGAGCAACGGGAGGCGGGTCCGCAAGCCAGGAACGTCCCAGAACCGGTAGTCGGAGACCCAGGCCGGCACTCGGGCCGCTGGGAGGAGCTCAGAAGTGCCAGGGGCAGAGCCTGGGAGGTGGGGGCGGGGCCAGGCTCAGCGGGGGATGGGGGCGTCTCCTCCCTCCCTCCCTCCCTCCCTCTTTCCCTCCGGCTGGGGCCCCTCACCCGTGCCGACCGCTCCGCTGGCCGCGCTCCAGCGAGATGAGGTAGGCGGCGAGCTTGGCGTCGCTCCAGCCGCTGCGGCGCCGCAGGTCCACCCAGGGCCCGTGCGCCTCGCCCAGGTACACGCGCCGCACGTCGTACTTCTTCCGGGACTCGAGCCGCCGCCGGGCCCGGTCTGATTCCGTGAGCCGCGGCCGGCCCCGCGCCTTGCGGCCCGCCGCGCCCTCCTCGGCCGCCGCCTCCCCGCCTGCGCCCGCCTCAGCCTCCGCCTCTGCCTCAGGCGCCCGCTCCGCCATCCCCCCCTCCCTGGTTACCAACCTCCCCCGTTGTTAGGAGCCTGGCCGGAAGTGGCGCGCATCTTCGGCGCCGCCGGGAAATTTCTCATGTACTCTCACTGCCCCGCAGCGCCAAAAGGAGACAGAATGGAGATTGCGCATGCGTGCCACAAGCACGTGCGACAACCTAATCTTTGACTCTTCTCTGCTAAACTTTCTCACTTCGTAGAGACGGGGAGGGGCTGAAGGCTTGAGGGCAGCCCGAGTAAGAATAGGCAGATGAACCCGTAGATGGGGGGGCTGGGGGGGGGGCGTTTCAAACCTTTATCTTAAGTACACGCTGGGGATGACAAGGCAAGGGTGAGAATTGACAGGTGAAGACAGAAGCAAGGCCAGGGACCTGATCTTTCTGTCAGTCTTGGATGCTGGAGAGCCGTTGAAAAGCCATGCCAGGCATCAAAGGGGCAGGCATGCCACACTACCAGAAAGGAGGGAAGGCAGCCCCAAACCAGAAAACTTTTATTTGCTTTACATTCAAAAGTCATCTCACGTTTTCACACCAGTCCAAGCCCATGCCCCTGTGCCTGCTCAGGCCTCAGCTCTGTCTCTGCTGCTGTCGCTGTGGATCATCTTCCTCTTCTTCCTGCCCTTTGGGTGGTGGCGGGGACGGCTCATCCAGTCCTGAGGTCGCCAGCAGCTCCCCAGTGGACGCAGACAGACGGAAGACCACAGGGATCTGGGCCAGGGCTGGGTTGGTTTCCTGCAGGCCCTGGATCCACTTGGCCAGTGTGGCCTGGTCATGGGCACCCGCCATACATATGGCGAAGACAGGGCCTTCCTCCACTGTTGGGAGAGGCAGACCCTCAGTTTGTGCAGAGGGGACTGGAGCAACCCCCACATTTCGTGCCCACACCCCTTCCAGGGGGCAGGAGCTTTAAGCTCCCTTTTGGTTTTCTTATATATCCAAGCCTTTGCAGACATGCACTCTGACTAGACTGCCCATTCCATGCTTCACCTGTATGATACCTCCTGGTTCAAGATTCCATCAAAAGTCCTGCTCCCCAACAGAGGCTGGGTGGTATGCGCCTCCCCAGACCCCAAGAATATAACTTGCCTGTTTCTCCATTGGCCCTGTCCTGGTCATCGGTAGCTAGCACAGAGGTACTCCATGGCAGGGAAATGACAGGCCTGGAGCCCCTCAGGTGTGTGTGTATACGTGGGCACCTGCTGGGTATCCGCCTGGACCCCACCCCTCACCCACACAGGCCACATATCCAATGCTGTGTCTGGAGTCCTGCTCATCTCAGTTTTTACCTTCATTGATGTCAAACTCATAGTCATCCCAGCCACTCCTCCCATAGTCCAAGTCCAGCTGCATCGGGTAGTAGAGGTTCCATTCCTCTGGAATCTTCTCCACTTCCTACTCCGAGAAGTAGGGGGGTTGCAGGCAGGGTTCAGAGGCCCAGGATCTTACAGCCTCCCCCCTACCATCACCAGGAACTATCATACCTACCCCAATCTGTGAGCCTTCATTAGCCCTCAGGGCAGTGCCAACCCACCCCACCCCCACTTGCGATTTGGGCCCTCACCCTCTCCTCAGGGGGCACCAAGTCTGCTCTGAGGATGTGGTAGTAGACACATTTGTTGCGGAGCCACAGGGAGAAGGGGCCCTCGACGAAGATAGGCCGGGCTGGGTTGTGGCGAGCCAGTGCGGCCTGTTGATCGGGGCTCTGGATACCTGGTATGGTGACATGTATGCCTAAGGGGCTCTGGCTGAGTGGCTGTATCCAAAGGCCCAGGGAGTCCACTCAGCAGACCCAGTGAGAACCCAGCTGCCCTATGCACAGGGTCTTACCTACGATATGCTGTTCGGGATCTGCTGTACCTGTGGAATCTTTAGACGAAGGCATCTGCAAAAAAGAGTAGGGGTGGAAGCTTGTGGCCTCCAGCCCCTATAGCGGAGCTGGGAAGAAATGGGGAAGGGAGGTGAAGTTTGGGCTTATCTACTGGACCTCCTACATGTCATTCAAGCCCTCCTCACTTCTAGCCAATTCAGCGTAACAGCTGTTAACATTGAAGATGCTCACATAGGCCCTAGCTGGTGTGGCTCAGTTGGCTGAGCATTGGCTCATGCACCACCAAGAGGTTGCTGGATCATTTCCCAGTTGGGGCACATGCTTGGGTTGTGGGGTTGACCCCCAGTGAGGGGCATGCAGGAGGCAGTCAATTGATGTTTCTCATCGACATTTCTCTCTCTCTCCTTTCTCTTTCTAAAAATCAATTACAAAAACATATTTAAGATGCTCACACAGTGGGAACCCTGGAGCCTATTCACTTATGTTAAAATCTGGGCTTTGCCACAGGCTGTGTGGCCTTGGCCAAGTTGCTATACCTGTGCCTGTTTCTTCAATTCAAATGGGGGTAATAACAGCACTTACTTGAGATGGTTCTAAAATGCCAAGAGCAGTGCCTGCACATAGTAAGTGCTCAGTGCTTGTGAAATTTAGAAAAAGAAGATTTCACAGTATTTCAGGAAGAAGACACAAGAAGCACAAATCAGTGTTTGACTCTGTGGAGGACAGGGAGGAAAGGAATACCCTTTTGTATTTTCTTAATTTTACACATTAAAAAGTGCACATACGCTTTGACTGAAATATTTGAGTGGACAACTGTTAGCACACACATCGTCCATCCTTTCAGGCTGAAAATTCAGGTGGTTCGGTGGGTACAAACATAGAATGCACTGCCAACCATATCTATATCTATACCTATATCTATATCTATATCTATATCTATATCTATATCTGTATCTATATATCTAAATCATCTATTTAAATCCTCACCTGAGGACATTTTTCCATTTATTTTCAGATAGAGTGGAAGGGAGGGGAAGGAAAAGGGGGAGGGAGAGAGAGAGAGAGAGAGAGAGAGAGAGAGAGAGGAAGAGAAAGAAACACTAATGAGAGGGACATGGATTGGTTGCCTCTCGCACAACCCTGACCAGGGCTGGGAACGAACCACAACCAAGGTATGTGCCCTTGACTGGAATCGAACCCGGGACCCGATACTCAACTGCTGAGCCAAAGCAGCCAGGGTGGACTGCCAACCATATTAAGTAAAATCAGCAAAAGGCAAGATGCAGAAGGTGTGTAATGCTCTGCCATTGGAGAAACACTTTTTTTTCCTTTATTGATTTTAGAGAGAAACATCGGTGAGAGAGAACACTGACTAGCCGCCTCCTGCGTGTCCCCCACTGGGGACTGGGCCCACAACCTGGGCATGTGCCCTGAGACTGGGATTTGTACTGGTGACCTCATGGTGCATGGGTCGACACTCAACCACTGAGCCACACCGGCCAGGCTGGAGAAAAGCTTTTAAAAAAATTATATTTATTGGGGTGACATTGGTTGATAAAATTATATTGCACAGTATAAAATTTTATGATACATCACCTGTATACCACCCAAAGTCATATCTTCTGTCACAATATATTTGATCCCCTTTAGGAGAAACCCTTTTTTTTTGTTAATCCTCACATGAAGATATTTTTTTCCCCCTTGATTTTCTTAGATTGGGAAGGAGGAAGGAGAGAAACATTGATGCGAGAGAGACACATTGATTGGTTGCCTCCCACATGAAGACCCTAACCAGGGCCGGAATCCAACAAGCAATGAGGTTTGTGCCCTTGACCGGGAATTGAACACATGACTCCTTGGGCTGTGGGCTGATGCTTTAACCACTGAGCAAAACCAGCCAGGGCTAGGAGAAACTCTTTTAAAAGTATATTTTTTGGGGTGAAAAGGTAAATGTTTTGCTCTTGGGCCCTTTAACTGGACAATATATTTATACTGATTTTTCATTTTAAATTTAACACCATGCCTGGCCAGGTAGCTCGGTTTGTTCAAGTGTTGTCTCAATACACCAAGGTTGTGGGTTTGATCCCCGGTCAGGGCATATAAAAGAAGTAACTAATAAATATATAAATATGTGGAACAACAAATTGATGTTTCTCTCTCTCATCTTCCCTCTCTCCCATTCCTTTCCTTCCTCTAAAATCAATCAATAAATTTTTTTAAAAAGTTTATCACCATGGAGTTTAAAAAACATTTGATTATGTATTTTTTTTTGCCCATGCTAAAAATCTTGGTTCCTATCAGCAGTAATAAATGCACTTATGTGACTTACCATCAATATACATAGTTTTGATATTACAATTAACCATAATGCTATGGGATTAAGTTCAGGATTTCTCTGCAGATCTTGTTTCTTAGAATACAAGCCACTAAGCATGGTCAGTCAGATGACAGTGACTTGGAAGATTTTTTTCTCTTACTGGTTATGCTATCAATTAGATATTTAGCTACATCCATTTCTGTTTGTTTTAAATTTTGGTAGTACTTTTTTCCTTTTAAAAATATACTAAACATTTGCCTAGCTCACCCACATTAAATAAACTCATGTCTCTATTCCATTCCTGTTCTCTCTACCCAATCTCCTTTGCCTACTCAGAGATGATCATTTCTACCCATTTCTGACTTATCTTTGCAATATTTATTTTTGTGAAAATAGGCAAATAGATATATGCACTTTTATTTCCACTGAAGACAGCTGACTATACCCCTGTGCATACTTCATTTCATCCTTTCACTTTGCTCCCCCCCCCCTTTGAGGTGCCACATTCTACATGCACAATTCACTCTTACTGGATACTTGGGTTGTTCCATTCTAAATCTGGGTAGAGTCAGTGCTTTCATCATGCTTTCCACCTTTCTGTATGTATTTTTCCGTAATGAGGCAGGAAGAAAATAAAATACTTATATACACAGGATATATATGCAAAAAAATTATCTGATGACAAACACATAGGAAGGAGACATGGAAGTGATCACTTCTGGGGGAGACTGGGGGATAAAGGGCCAGGAGAGAAAAGGACTCTTCACTGTGTTCTTGTTTACTGTTTGGCTTTTTACTGAGTTACTTTTAAAAATTAAGAAATGAGCCCTGGCTGGTTTGGCTCAGCAGTTGAAGATTCGGCCTGGGGACAGAAAGGTTGTTGGTTCGATTCTGGTCAAGGGCACGTACCTGGGTTGCAGGTTCATTCCCAGCCCTGATTGGGGTCGTACGGGAGGCAAGTAGTCAATATATCTCTCTCACATAGATGTTTCTCTTTCTCTCTCTCTCCCCCCTTTCACTCTCTCTAAAAATCAATGGAAAAAGATCCTGGGGTGAGGATTAACAAACAAATAAAGAAAAATAAAAAATTAAGAAATGAGTTAAAAATTACCTGTCCTTTCTCACCTGGATACCGCATCACTCACTATCCTACCCCATCCTCTTCCCTCACTATCCAACACCATCCACATGGCTACTAGAAGGCCCTTTTGAAACTGCAACTCCTTCCAGAAACATGGTTTCCACCCTGTCTTCTCCTCTAGGCTCTCTCCTCACCAACAGTTTCAAAAATAAGCTCTTAAACCCATCCTCCTCCTAGCCTCTTCTCCCCAACCCTGACCCTCTATACCAAAGACTTTTCAGCATCTCCAACCCTAAAAGCCCTGGCCCATGCTGCTCTCTCTGCCAGGAATACTCTCCTTGCCTCTCTTGTCCTGCCTAAGCCCAGTTCACCTTCACCTTCTCCAAGAAGCCCTCCTGATTCTCTGCCCCTTCTGAACTACCATGGCTCCCAGGGCTTCTCCATCTTAGAACCAGTGGCTCTGAGGGAAATTATCCAGGGTTGGTTTCCATGGCCAGGCAAATGCTGTGAGGGGCTCCCTTTGGATCCCCTGTGTGGCCTAACGTGAGTGGGGCTCTCAGGACATGGGTGGGAATATGGAATATTTCATTCAGTCACTCAGTAAACAACTGCTGAACTTTGAGACAGACCCTGTGCTGGGCCTTGGGAGACACAGGAAACTGAGTCACAGTGGTTGAGCAACCAAACTTAGTACAGGGAAGTGGTGATCAGGAAGGGGACCCCGAGGAAGGGACAGTGGTGCTGAGACTGTAAGAATGTAAAGTCCCCAGGGAAGAGTGTTCCTGGCCTTTGGAAGGGAACAGAGTGTGTAAAGACCCAAGGAGGGAACTGGCACAGATTGTTCAAGGAACAGAAAGGAAGGCAGATGACTGGATTACAGTGCATCTGCGGAAGGGGGGGTAGGAGCAGAGGTCAGAGGTCAAGCTGCAGTAAGGTGTGAGGACCATAGGAATCTAATAGGCCTGTTAGGCTGAGTAAAGGGGGCCCAGCCCAGGGTGGCAGCTGAGGGTGTGGACATAGGTGAATACCTGGTAGACGGTGACCCTGGCGCTGAGGTCAGGCTCTATGTGTCGCAGGCCCAGCTTGGCCAGGTCCACGGGGTCCTGGGGCAGGTCTCGGGGCACGGGAAAGGGGTTGACATTCTTGAAGCGGGAGAACCACAGCTTCATGCGCACGAACTTGAGCATGGGGTAGCTTTTGCGCCCAAATATCTGAACCAGCAGGAACTCTGTCTCCTTGTTGGGCATCACCCCTATGCCAGGTGGATAGCAGCAGAGCCTCAGGGAGGGGGCAGAGAAGGGACGCATGACAGACAGAGACCAGTAGAGGGGCTCGGGACCAAGCGGGAATTATGGCAAGGACCAAATGGAAAAAGCCAGAGACGGAGAATAGAAGTCAGGGAATTGATGCCAGAGAGGGATGAAATAATCCGAGAGAGTTTAAAGGAAAAATCAGAGGGAGAGAGGAAAGAGATGAGAGCCAGAAAAAGAGATTGGGGGGTGGGGAGCAGGCCAGGCAGAGAGGACACACATCAGAGCCATAGAGCACTGGAGAGGCCCAGACCCAGGAGTGGGAGGCAGCCACTCCCCCACCCTGAGCCTGCTGGCCTCACCGTGGTTTTCCATCTGCTCCAGGACCGCAATCCCACACTCCTGCTGCCGTGGGTAGTGAATGAAGATTTTCTGGAAGACGCTGCGAGGCTGGAAGACCTCCTTGGGGAAGATGTCAAGCAGCAGGTTGTAGACGGCCAGGTCCCTTTCGACTCCGTACTCCCGCATCTTGCGCAGGGCTAGGTAGATGAAGTCAACGTGGCCCCGCTTGTGCACGTTATGCTGCCCGAAGTTCTGCACGGCTCGCACAAAGCTGGCCTTGTCCCAGGTCCCATCTGGTGCCTGCCTAAACAGCTCTTCGTAGGGTGATGGGGCCTTAGCGGGTACCCGCAGGGGCTCAGGCGGGCTTGGGACCAGAGATGAGTCAGAGCTGTGGGTGGCTACACTGCAGTGGAGGCCTCGAGCGGTCTGGGAGGGTACCTGGAGACAAAGAACCACTGCTAGAATATGCTACCTCCCAGTGCCCCTTGGGGACTGCCAGGCTTGCTCTTTCCTGGGAAAGGTGCCAGTGGGCATCCCTAAGGGCCTCTGAGGAGGTGTGCTGTGGTTAGAAACCCAAGATCAGGCACCATTACAGACTGTGAGGACACAATAATAAAACCCCCATGGAGGCAATTCGACAACACTCACCATGAGGACAAACATATACCCTTTGTCGCAGCAATCCTGCTATCCTCACTCAAGGATATTTTTCCATTGATTTTTATATAGTGTTGCGGGGGAAGGGGAGAGACATCAATGTGAGAAAGACACATTGGTTGGCTGTCTCCCACACAACCCTGACCAGGGCTGGGGATTGAACCTGCAACCCAGGTACATGCCCTTGACTGGGAATCAAACCCACAACTCTTCAGTCCTTGGGCGATGCTCTAACCACTGAGAACCCCAGCCAGGGCCTGCACCTGATATTTAAATTTAACTCAAATGACTTATGTGCATCTGCTGTGTCAGTGGAAATGGCCCCAATGTGCATCAGCAAGGAAATGATGTAGCGAATGACTATGAACTTGAACAAGGAGCACCTGCTGCTCTAAGACAAACTGAGGAGGTCTTGTGTTACCTGGGGTGAACTTCAAGGTAGATCATTACATAAAAAAAAGAAGGTGTGAAACAGTGTGTAGAATAGGTTCCCATATGTGCAAAAAAAAACCCCCAAAAACCCCAATCTTATATACAGTAGATATTCATTACTTGCGGATTCCATATTTCCAAATTTGCCTCCTTGCTAAAATTGATTTGTAATCCCCAAGTCAATACTCCCTCATGGCACTTTCCTGGACTTTTGTGGACATGTGTAGTTGAAGTTGAACAAAATGATACTCTGCCTTCCTGTTTTGGCTCTCATACAGTCAACAAGTGTCCTTTTAGAGATTTATTTAGTACATGTTTCTCACATCTTTTTGCTGGTGATCTTGCTACTGAAAATGGCCCCCAAGCGTGGTATAGAAGTGCTGCCTAGTATTCCTACATGCAAGAAGGCTCTACTGTTGCTTATAGAAAAAATACAAGTGGTGCCTGACCAGCACAGCTCAGTTGGTTGAGTGTGTCCAAGCACTCGAGGTCGCCATTTCGATTTCTGGTCAGGGCACATTCCGGGGTTGCGGGCTCCATCCCCAGTAGTGCAGGAGACAGCTGATCAATGTTTCCCTCTCATTGATGTTTCTCTCTCTCTCTCTCCCCCTTCCTCTCTCTGAAATCAATAAAAACATATTAAAAAAAAATACACGTGGTAGATAAGCTTCATTTAGGCATACATTATAGTGCTGTTGACTGTTGAGTTCAATGTTAATAAATCCACAATATATGTGAAATAAGGTATCTTTAAATGGAATCATGCACACACAAAGGTTATATATTGACTGGTTGAGGAAAATGTGACAAGAGGCTCACAGAAACCCTACCTCATACTTCACCTGGGAGCAAAGTTTTAGTAATCGCTAATTCAATGTATGCAACAACTTTATAGACCATAACTACTGTGAATAATGAGAACTGACTGTATGTATATGTATTTTGTGTGTCTGTCAAATATCTCTGGAAGGAAATAACAATAAGTGAGTAACATCTCTTGCTTCTAGAGCTAAGTGGTGGTAGCCAGATAGAAGGACAGACCTTTGTCATGATGTAGCCTCAGAACTTTTTGAATGTTGAAGTGTATCTTTTTTAATCCTCACCTGAGGATATTTTTCTGTTTATCTTTAGATAAAATGGGAGGGGGAGAGGGAGAGAGAGAGAGAGAGACACTGACTGGTTGCCTCCCGCAGGACCCGACCAGGGCTGGGAACAAACGGCAACTGAGGTATACGCCCTTGACTGGAATTGAACCCGCGACTCATTGGTCCGCAGGTTGACACTCTAACCACTGAGCCAAACTGGCCAGGGCAAACTGTAATGTATTTCTGAACTAAATGTATTACCTATTCAAAAGATAAATTTTAAAAAATGAGTTAAAAACAAACAAAAACCCAAAAGAACTTAAACTGAGTTTTTAAAAAATGCAGATTTTGGAGTCAGCAGGAATCTCAGCTTGACTGTTCTCTGTCAGGTGACACCCATAACCTACTTTACTGCTAAGGTCTCAGTTTCCTCATATGTTAGGATGGCATCCACCTTGGGTTAAGGAGATCTTGTTTCCAGAGTGGGGAGTGCATGCTGTTGGGGGAAGACCAAATCCCTCCAGAACAGAAGTCAGCAAACCACTGCCTATAGGCAAATCCAGCCAGCTGCCTGCATTTGTAAATAAAGTTTTATTGGAACAGTCATGCTCATTCATTATGTCTGGCCTGTGGCAGAACTGAATAGTTGTGACAACGACTGTGTTGCCTGCAAAGCAAAAACTATTTACTCTCTGACCCTTGACGAAAAAGTATGCCGGCCCCTGCTTTAAATGATAAACTAAAAAATTTCTTATTTTAATTTGAACTGAATGTTTACTGAATATTCTTATGTTCCAGGCATTGCTGAGCACTTACTGTACCCATTTTACAGATGAAGAAATTGAGGCCCAGTGGGTGTAAAGTGGGATGTCTGGTGTAACACAGCTGCAGAGCAGCAGAGATGAAATTGGAGTCTCTGCTCTGCTGCCCTCAACAGCCATCCTTAAGTCTTGCTTACATAAGGCGATATCAAACAGACAGGCATTCATTTAAAGTGAAAGTGTAGGCAACTAATACTACAGGTGGTATATGCATAAGGGGAAAATCAAAAAGGAAGCTCTAGAATACCCAAAAGAAGGGGAGATCCCACAAAGGAGATAATGTGAATGAAATGCATAGCAAAGGGCTTGGCATAGAGAAAGGGCTCAATAAGAGCTTTTAGTAGTATCACTACTACCATTATTGTTGTTGTTGTTGTTGCAATCTATGACCACTGATTGGCTTGGGCCATCTGGTCACTTTGGGTAAATGATGGAAGTTCAATTTTCTGTCCAAATCCTTATACGTGGATGTAGAAGTTACTGAGTCACCACCCAAATCCAGTTAGCTCATACATCCGTATTTTCAAATTCCCTTGGCACCAGTACTTTTTAAAATAAATAAAAAACATTCATTTGGCCCTCAGATCAGACAGGCCAGCTTAGACTCCTCAGAGCTGCCTTCATGAGGTGGATTCTGAAGGGCTTGGGAGCAAATCCCAGGCTTGCCTGCCTACCTCCTTCCACCTTCATGACTGCTTGGCTGCAGTTACCTGAGAGAAGGGGGCTCCTGTGAGGGTGGTACCACAGATGCCTCTCCAGCTCCGAGACAGGCCCTGAGCTAGCAGGATGGCACGGGCCCAGCTCATGCCTCTGCTTGTTGGACAACCACCTGGACAAGGGAGAAGAGATAGCATCAGCCCAGCACTCCACCAGATAATGAAGATAAGACCCCTCTCGTGGGTAGAGGCCACATTCCAGACTGCATAGCTAACTCACCAGTTCCCCTGGTTTCCTCATCCACAAGATAGAGCTTAAATGACTGTTAAATCAAGAATCCTTGCTTCACTATCTAGAGAAATTTGCTGCAATGGTCCCCCCTCTCTCCCAGGTCATGTTTTTTTTTTTAATCCTCACCCAAGGATATGCTTTTATTGATTTTAAAGAGAGAGGAAGGAAGAGAGAAACATTGGTGGGTTGCCTCTCATACAGGCCCCGACCTGGGATTGAACCTGCATCGTAGGTATGTGCCCTGACCTGAAATGGAAACTGCTGCCTTTGGAGTACAGGATGATGCTCCAACCGAGCCACCCAGCCAAGGCCCTACCAGGTCATTTTTTAACTTTAGTAACATACCATATAGTCTACCCTTTTAACGTATAAGGGTATATGTTATAAGGGCATAAGCATATAAGGGTAAAGTATAAAGTTCAGTGTTTGTTTTTTTTTAGTATATTCAGAGTTGTGCAACCATCACTGTAATATAATTTTAGAACATTTTTGTCACCCTGGGAAGAAAACCTATGCCCATTAACCATTACTCTGATTTCCTCTCATCCTCAACCCTAGACAACCAATAATCTACCATCTGTATAAATTTGCCTACTCTCAGTAATTCATATAAGTGGAATCATGTGATTTTTTTTTGTGCCCAGCACCTTTCATTGAGCATGTGCTCAAGGTTTGTCCACGTCGTTACATGTATCTGAATTCATTCCTTTCAGTTGCCAAGAAATTTCCATTGTATAGATATGTTTTATATATGTTCATCAGCTGATGGACATTTGGGTTGTTTCCACTTTTTTTTTTTTTTTTTATCCTCACCTGAGGACATTTTTCCATTTTTTGTTCAGGTAGAGCGGGAGGGAGAGAGAGAGAGAGAGAAACATCGACGTGAAAGGGACACATCGAGTGGTTGCCACCCGCACGACCAACCAGGGCCGGGGACAAACTGCAACCGAGGTACGTGCCCTTAGCGGGAACCGAACCCGGGTCTCTCTGGACCGCAGGCCAACGCTCCAACCGCTGAGCCAAACCGGCCAGGGCTGTTTCCACTTTTTTACTATTATGACTAATGCTGCTATTAACACTCATGTAGAAGTTTTTGTGTGAACATGTGTTTACGCTTCTTTTGGGCATATACTTAGACGTCATATTGCTGCGATATATGCTAACTCTATGTTTAACATTTTGCGGAGCCCCTGAAACTGTTTTCCAAAGTAGCTGCACCATTTTGCATTCCCGTCAGCAATGTATAAAGGTTCCAATTTCTCCATATCCTTGCCAATACTTATTATTTTCTGTCATTTAGAATATAGACATCCTATTGAGTGTGAAGTGGTTATCTCCTTGAGGTTTGGATTTGCCTTTCACTAATGATTAATGATGTTGAGCATCTTTTCATATGCTTATTGGCTATTGTGTATCTTTGCTGGAGAAATGTGTATTTAAATCCTTTGTCCATTTTTTAAACTGGTTACTTCTCTTATTGTTGAGTTTTAAGAGTTCTTTATATATTCTAGACCCTAGACCCTTATGATTTAAAAATAATTTCTCCCATTCTTTGGGTTGTCTTTGCACTTCCTTGTTATCATTGCAGCATGTTTTACATTCTGAAGTCCAATTAACACTTTTCTTTTATAGCTCTGCTTTTGATGTTCTATCTAAAAAACCATTGCCAAGAGCCCAAAGTCATGATCTATTTCTCTGTTTTCTTCTAAGACTTTTAGCTCTTACATTTAGGTCTATGATCCACTTTGAATTTTTGTGTATTGTGTGACAAAGGGGTTCATGTGGATATCCAGTTGTCCTAGTACTATTTGTTGAAGAGACTATTCTTTTCTCATTTTATTGTCTTAGCACTCTTGGTGAAGGTCAATTGACCATAAATGTAAGGGCTTATTTCTGGGCTCTCAATTCTATTCCATTGATCTATATGTTGAGCCTTATGCCAGTACCACAGTTTTGGTTATTGTTGTTTTATAGGTTTTAAAACCTGGAAGTATAAGTCCAACTTTGTTCTTCTAAGATTGTTTTGGCTATTTCTGGTCCCTTGCAATTACATATAAATTTTAGAATCAGCTGTCAATTTCTGCAAAAAGCCAAGAGGGATTCTCTGGACCGCAGGCCGACGCTCTAACCGCTGAGCCAAACTGGCCAGGGCCCAAGAGGGATTCTGATAGGGATTATGTTGACTGTAAATTGACATGGGTATCTTAATAATAATATTAAGTCTTCTGATCCATGAACATGGGCTATGTGTCCATTTATTTAGATCTTTAATTATCTCAACAATGTTTTATAGTTTTCAGTCTTTTATTTCTTTTTCTTTTTTTTTATCATCCTCACCCGAGGACATTTTTCCATTCTTTGCTCAGGTAGAGTGGGAGGGAGAGAGAGGAACAGAGAGAGAGAGAAACATCGATGTGAAAGGGACACATTGAGTGGCTGCCACCCACAGAACCCAACCAGGGTCGGGGACAGACTGCAACCGAGGTACGTGCCCTTAGCGGGAACCGAACCGAACCGTACTGCAGGCCGATGCTCTAACCGCTGAGCCAAACTGGACAGGGCCAGTCTTTATTTCTTTTGTTAATTTGTATTTCATTCTTTATGAAGCTATTGTAATGGGATTATTTCTTAATTTCATTTCTGTGCTGTTCAATCACTGCGCCACACTAGCTAGGCAATATAATTTATTTTACGTGTTGATCTTGTATACTGAAACTATGCACAACTCACTTATTAGTTCTAATAGCGTTTTATTGGATTCCTTAGGATTTTCTATACACAAGATCATGTCATCTGCAAATAGAGATAGATTTGCTTCTTTCTTTCTAATCTGGATGCCTTTTATTTCTTTTTCCTGCCCAAGTGCCCTTGCTGGAACCTGCAGTACAATGTTGAATAGAAGTGGCAAAAACCACTTCCTTGTGTTGCTCTTGATCTTAGGGGGGAAGCATCCAGTCTTTCATCATCATGAGCTGTGTGTGGGTTTTTCATAAATGTACTTATCAAGTTGAGGAAACATTGAGTGTTATTATCAGAAAGTGTACTGGATTTTGTAAATGTTTTTGTTGCATCTATTGAAATAATTGTGTGGTTTTTGTCCTTTCATCTATTATTACAGTGTATTACATTAACTGATTTTCAAATTTTAAGCTAACCTTGCATTTCTGGGATAAATTCCACTTGATCATGATATTTAATCCTTTTCATGTTACTAAAACTTGGTTTGCTAGTATTTTGTTGAAGATTTTTGTGTCCATAGTCATAAGAAATACTGGTCTGTAGTTTTCTTTCAGCATTTGTTTAGTTTGGTATCAGGGTAGTACTGGCCTCATAAAATGAACTGGGAAGTAGTTGGATCATTTTTAGCATTATTTAAACTTTCTCTAGCATCTCCCATCTTTTTTTTTTTTTTTATCCTCACCTGAGGACATTTTTGCACTTATCTTAGATAGAGTGGGAGGCAGAGAGGGAGGAAGAGAGAAAGAGAGAAAAACATTGATGTGAGAGATACACATTGACTGGTTGCCACCCACATGACCCCAACAGGGACCAGGGACAAATGGTAACCGAGGTACGTGCCCTTAGCAGGAACCGAACCCGGGACTCTCTGTTCTGCAGGCCAACGCTCTAACCGCTGAGCCAAACTGGCCAGGGCAGCATCTCTCATATTTTTTTTTTTTTTTCTTCTCATCCTCACCAAAGGACATTTTTCCATTTTTCGTTCAGATAGAGTGGGAAGGAGAGAGAGGAAGAGAGAGAGAGAGAAAAACATTGACATGAAAGGGACACATGGAGTGGTTGCCACCCACACGACCAACCAGGGCCCGGGACAAACTGCAACTGAGGTATGCACCCTTAGTGGGAACCGAACCTGGGTCTCTCTGGACCGCAGGCCAACGCTCCAACCGCTGAGCCAAACCGGCCAGGGCAGTATCTCTCATCTTGATCTGGAGTCTCCCTGCAGCCTTTGCTTCACATCTCTGTTCCCTTTACAGAAAAGTTTTTTTTTTTTTTTTAATGTTTTTATTGATTTTTAGAGAGAAGAAGGGAGGAGAGAGAGAGAAAGAGAAACATTGGTGGAAGAAAGGAACATCGATCGGTTGCCTCCTATACATACCCTGACTGGGGCTCTGACCAGGAATAAACCGATGACCATTCTGTGCACTGGATGATGCTCAACCAATTGAGCCACTGGCCAGGGCCAGAAAAGCTTTTCCTGAGAGGTGTCTACAGACTATGCTTTACTCACTCCAACTTGGCTGCTGCCCCAACCACTCCACTAACATCATCCTTCGTGTTTTTTTTTTTTTTTATCCTCACCTGAGGACATTTTTGCATTTATCCTTAGATAGAGTGGGAGGGAGAGAGGGAAGAGAGAGAGAAACATTGATGTAAGAGAGACACATCGAGTGGTTGCCACCCACACAACCCCAAACGTGGGTGGGGGGGGTGGTGGTCGATGGACAGACAAACCACAACCAAGGTGTGTGCCCTTAGCGGGAACCCAACCCGGGCTTCTCTGGTCCGCGGGCTGACACTCTAACCACTGAGTCAAACTGGCCAGGGCCATCCTTGTGTTTTCTATACTTACCAAAGCCAGTGATTACTTCTCAGTCCTCATTTCATTTGATTTCTCAGAAGCATGTGGCACTGGTGAGGCCCTCTTCCCACCTGCTTGACACTCTTGATTTTCTTCCTAGCTCCCAGGCCTGTTTCTCAGCTAATCAGCCAAACTCACTTCCTTCTCTAAAGTTTACAATGTTTGAAAACTTGAATGTGCAGAAAAATTACCTGGGACCTTGTTAAAAGGCAGATTCTGATTCAGCAGCTCTAGAGTACAGACTCTGCTGCTTATCTAACAAGCTTGAGTGATGCTTATACTGCTGGTCTGGAGACTACACTTTGAGTAATAAGACAAATCCCACATTCTGAATTTGTCTGCCTACTACCCTGAGGTGTCATTAAACTTGTTCTTCTCTTCTTTGTATTCCTGTAGGCAGCTCTAATGGTTCTCAGACTTTGTTCACATTAGAGTCAAGTAGGGAGCCTTTAAAAATCCCCATACCCAGGCCATACCCCAGATATATTAAATCAGAGTATCTAGAGGTAGGGCCCAGGAATCAGCATTTTAGCACACTCCAGTGATTCTCATATGCAGCTAAGATTAAGACCCTAATTTAAACCTTCGCTACTCAAAGTATGTTCCAGGGATCAGCCACCCTGGCATCGTCATCTGGGAGCTTTTTAGAACTACAAAATCTCAGCCTTAATTCATACCTACTGAGTCAGAATCTGCATTTTAAACAGAGTCCAGGTTTCTTCTATGTGTGTTCAAGTCTGAGAAATGGTCCTGGCCTGATTGGCTCAGCAGTAGAGCATCGGCGCACCAACCAGTAAGTGGCAGGTTCGATTTCGGCCATGGGCACGTACCTTGGTTGTGGTTTGTCCCCGGCCCTGGTTGGGGTCATGCGCGAGGCAACTAGTTGATATGTCCCTCTCACACTGATGTTTCTCTCTCTCTCCCTTTCTTTCCCTCCCACTCTATCTGAAGAGAAATAGAAAAATACCCTCGGGTAAGGATTTAAAAAAATAAAATTCTAAGAAATGATGATCTATCCAAATGTTTATCGCCAGCCCTGAGCTCCAACCTTCACACCTAACTGCCACTTTGGTATATAACCAGCTGTCTCAAACTAATTTGCTCCAAAGTGATATCCCTGCTTAAACTTGTTCCTCTCCATTCTTGCCAATGACACCACCATTCCTAGACATTCAGGCCTAAAACCTAGAAATCATTGCTGAGTACATTGTGTCCCTCACTCCCTCACCTGATCCACAAAGCAGTCCTGGTGACTACTTCCAAATCCATCCCAAGCACATCCATTTCTCTCCATCTGCAGGCCTGCACCCCAATGACCTCTTTCCCAGCCTCCCACTTCTTTCCTAACTTGCCTCTAGTCAGTTCTGCCCACCTTGACGAGAGGGAGCTTTTTATTTTTTTAATTATTTGTTTGTTAATGTTCCCCTGAGGATATTGTTTTCATTGATTTTTTTACAGAGAATGGAGGGAGGGAGGGAGAGAGAGAAACATGGACGTGAGAAGACACATCATTTGGTTGCCTCCTGCATTCTGCCCCACTTCCTATCTAAAGCCCCCATCACCCGATGAATGCATTTTTAGCAATTACTAGCATCTGAAATCACCTGTTCTTTTTTTTATTATTATTTCTAACTTGTTCAATGTCTGGCTCCCCCCAGGAGATGGAGGATTTTTGTCTGTCTTCCTATTACTGTTTCTCCAGCACTCCGGACAACGCCTGGAATATAGTAGGTGTCTAGTAAGTGTCACTGGAATGGGAAGAGCCAAATTTCTACAAAACGTCTACAAATCTATAAATCTGAATTCCGAGGTGCGGTGTACCTACAGCAGCTCTGAGGCTGGCTGCCAGGATTCTGGGTTCGTTGGGAGAAACGTTCAGAAGCGGGTTCAAATTCCAGCCTACCTGCTCACCTGTGGCGTGACCGCGGGAGAAAGCCTTAACCTCTCCGAGCCTCAGTGGTCTCATCTGAAAAATGCAGGATTAAAGACGTGAGCAGGTGGGTACACTCAGAGCGGCCTTTCCCGGCACGTCCCCGCCCGCACCCCAAAAGGTCATGGTGCCCTAGCCCAGCGGCCGAGTCCCTCCGGTGCTGCCCTCCCCCGCTGCCGGTCCAGAACAAGCCGCTCCGAAGCCCTGCGGTTCGCGCTCGCCTCTCGACACGCACCTACCTACTAACGCAGCTTGCCTCAGATTCTGAGCCGGTTGCTTCTTGTCGCTGGGCGACGCCATGCTGCCCGGAGAGCTTCCGGGTCACGGGCCGCCGGGAGACAGCAAGTCAAGAACGCGGGTTTAAAGAGGTCCCGCCCAGAAGGGAGAAGCACCAATAGGAAGGGGGAACGACATTTTCGCTGCCTCCTAACGAACCAGGCCTCGCCCCTAGTAAGGCAAACCGCATCTCTAACCTGCGAATTGCGTATGGCTGGATGGTTCCCGGGCTGGGAGGCTGGACTTGGGGGGCCGTTAATCCAGCTGGCGGCCCCAGTTTTCCCTCATGAAATGTGGGAATGAAATAGTAAAGATGGAAGTACTCCCAAGTGTGTGCGAAATGCAGTGTCTGGGTCCCTGGATTTGTACCTTTTTCTTCAGTGCGGCAGGTCCATGATCCCCGGATAATTCCTTTGCCTCCGAGCATGGTGACAGGAGAGATGGTGCAGCTGGTATCCACTCCGACGGCTGTAGGTGCTGGGCAGTCACAGGGGGTACCTGGGGCGTGGACCTGGGCTACAGAGACATGACTCTCCCTGCTGGTCCCTATGGTCCCCCTTCGGTGGTTCAGCCTCCTAATTTCGTCTTGTGCCAGCGTCTGGGCGCTAGGCCAGCGCGTATTCCACAGCCTCGGGCCGACCTCTGAGTGCTTTGGATTCACGCCAACAGTTCCAGGTAATAGGGGGGCGTGGCCGGGGGCGGTACCTAACCCCGCACCCCTGGATGAGGATCCATACCCCACCTCCCATCCCAAGGTGCCCGTCCATCCTCCTCCCCCTGGCCATCAGCGCCCTCAGGCGGAACAAACTGACCTTGGTGGAGACAATCAACATCAACCTCACTCCATGAGTCAGCTGGGTCTAGGTGGATGGTCTCCACTTCACTCTCGCCCCTACTCTGAGCCCCTATGGAAGTGGGGAGTCGGTAGAACCGGGAAGGGGGTGGACACTGCTGAAGGTCTGTAGGTGACTAAAGGACCCCTCCAAAAAGGTTCTCCGAGTAAGGATGGCACAGCTAAGGAGTCTCAGCTGATGCCTGCTCCATGGCAGATGGGGTTCAGTTGGGTGGGCACTGAGTGACATTCATTCAATCCCCTGCTCACCTCCCTACACGCCTGGTGCTGATCCACTGCAACTAGGGCATCAGATGTTCCTGGATTACCATGCAGTTTCTCTCTTCAGCTTCCACAGAAGATCCCTGGGACACTACCTCTCCCCCTCCCCACCATGTATTGAACAGTTTCTGTGCGCTCCATTATTATAATTTCCATGAGGAGAGGAACATTTTGTTTGTTGTATGTATGTCTTCAGCATTAGGGACAGGGCTTGAAACATGGTAGGTACTCAATAGATGTTAGTTACAAAATGAATAAATGAATGTTCCTGATGCTCATTCTAATATTTAAACCCTAGAAACTGTCCCTTGTGATAATTGTCACAACTGCACTGATGCTCACCCCAACCTTTAACCCCCAGCAACTGTCCCTTGTGAAAGCCCCATATGACTGTCTTCCCCATGCCTAACTAATTACCCTACCTCTGCCTTCCCTGCTTCTTTCCCCAGCCTCAGAGTAGGCTGCACTACCTCGAAGAACTCTATGCCAATTTGTGTCTGCTCTCAGCCCTTTGTCAATTTTGGGTCCTTGGGTACTTGAGCCTGGGGATGTGTGAGGGTCTTTCCTCTCCTCTCTTGTATTCCCCTTTTCTTCCCTCACACTTGTCCACAATTGGTTGCTGAGTACAGCAAGCTGACCCTGAAACTTGAGTGGTGTGCCCATGGTTGTAGTCTATATAGCTGGCATCACTGTGATGTTGTTTTAAAGTTTGAGGGGGGTTGACTTTGGCTATGCTGGACCTGGACATCCTCAACATTCTATGGATATACCACATCACACTGTCAAGGACCTGAGGTGGGAGAGCCCTCATGTCCCAGAGCAGTGTGGGAAAGGAGTGAAGAGATGTGGAAGAGCTCCCCTAAACCCTGCTGCAGACTTGGATTCAGGGCCAAAGTTGTGGAGGGTGTGTAGAGGAGCATGAGGCTGTGCCCATCCCACAACCAGAAAGCTCATATTCACTCAACAATCGTTTCTTGAGTGCCTCCCTTGTACCAGTCACTATTCTAACCCTTGAGGAACAGCAGTGAGCAAAAAGATTTCTGACCTTGGGTAGCTGGCATTCGAGTGGAGGAGACAGACAAAAGACCCATGTTCTATAGAAATATTTTACTACTATTTGTAGTTTGTAAAATATTAAGTGCAACTGTAAAACTGTTTAGGATATGATTTTGTTTATCATCTTGTTAATCTTAATCTACTTTTGAACTTTGAACATGTTACTTTCTGTAATTAATAACATATTTTAGTCCCTTTTTGCTTGTGCATAGAGCTTGAGTCTGTGTTCTGTGTATTATATCTTCTGTCATCCTGCCATCTCAAACAAAACATCAAAATGAATTAATTAATCAACAAATATTTATACATATTTTAAAACAAATATGGGTTTTATGCTAGATCTGAAAGGAAATATAAAATGTATTTGAAAACGGAAAAGAAATTTAAGTTCTCCAAGTGTTTAGAATTTGTTTCCAAATTCATGAAGCAAAAATGTAAAATGCTACATATGATTAACCAAATGGTTGATATTAGACTAATATTTTTTTAAAGGATACTTTCCCCCCCTCTTTATTGATATTAGAGAGAGAGGAAGGGAGAGGGAGAGAGAGAGAGAGAAACATCATAGATTGGTCACCTCCTGCATGCCCCCCCACTGGGGATTTGGCCTACAACCTGGGCATGTGCCCTGACCGGGAATCCAACCAGCGACCTCTTGTGCATGGGTCGATGCTCAACCAGTGAGCCACACTGGCTGGGCAAGAATTTTTTTAAAAATTTTTATCCTCACTCGAGGACATTTTTCCATTTTTTGTTCAGATAGAGGGGGAGGGGGACAGGGAGGGAGAGGGAGAGGGAAACATGGACGTGAAAGGGACACATCTAGTGGCTGCCAACTGCACTACCAACCAGGGCTGGGGACAAACTGCAACCAAGATACGCTCCCTTAGTGGAACCGAACCCAGGTCTCTCTGGACCGCAGGCTGACACTCTAACTGCTGAGCCAAACTGGCCAGGGCACAAGAATTTTTTTAAAAAAGAAATGTTTTAGAGCTTGAGCTGTGTGGCAATTTCATGGTGTATATGTATGTAAAAATTCATTGAGCTATCCATTAATATGTGTGTATTTTCTTACTTTCAGTAATATCTCAATTTAAAAGTTTTAAAAAGTGATAACTGATTCATTGAGCTATAATTTGTACACTTTTTAAAATATGCATACTGTACTTTAAAAGTCTATATAAACACTTCACACTCATTAGGTTGGCTATTATATATATTTAAAAAAAAAAACAATCTAACAAGTGATAGTGAGGGTGTAAAGAAAGTGGAACCCTTGTACACTGTTGGTGGGAATGTAAAATGGTTCAGCCACTATGGAAAACTGTATAGGGGCTCCTCAAAAAATTAAAAATAGAGCTACTATATGATTCAGCAATTCCACTTCTGGGTATATACCCAGAAAAAGTGAAAGCAGGGACTCAAACAGATAGTTACCATATTCATAGCAGCATGATTCACAATAATGAAAGCAACTCAAGTGTCCATTGACAGATGAATAAACAAAATGTGGTATGCACATACAATGGAATATTATTCAGCCTTAAAAAGGAAGGAAATTCTGTCCTTGTGAATAAACCAGTCACAAAAAGACAAATATTGTATGATTCCAATTATAGAAGGTCCCTAGAGTAGTCAAATTATCATACAAACAGAAAGTAGAATGGTGGGTGCCAGGGATTGAGGGAGAGGGAAAGGGGAGTTGGTGTTTAATAGTAACAGAGTTTTTAAGTCTTGGAGGATGGAAAAAGTCCTAGAGATGGATGGTGGTTCACAACAACATAACTGTACATAATACTATAGAGCTGTGTACTTAAAATGGTAAATTTTATGTTATATATTGTACTACAACTTTTTAAAAGTCTACTAAAAAAGACAACTCTTAAGAGGTAAGGTTAGAGCCCTGGCCGGTTTGGCTCAGTGGTTAGAGCATCGACCTGCGGTCCTGAGAGACCCGGGTTCGGTTCCTGCTAAGGGCGCGTACCTCGTTTGCAGTTTGTCCCCGGCCCTGGTCCGTCGTGCGGGTGGCAGCCACTCGATGTGTTCCTTTCACATCGATGTTTCTCTCTCTCTCCCTCCCACTCTACCTGAACAAAAAAATGGGAAAATGTCCTCAGGTGAGGATAAGAAAAAGAAACAAAACAAAACAAAAAAGAGGTAAGGTTAGATGGGGGGGGAGGGAGGGAAGACTCCTGGGCTCCACAAATAAGCTGTTAATAACATAAGTGGATTATCACATAAGATGGGGGCTTGATTGTAGTAGAGGCTTCAGATGAGGGCGGTTATTCTCCCCTGTAAAGCCATTTCTTCAGTCCCATCTCCTCCATGATGCAGGCGCTGGCAAGGAGCCATGGCCACCCTTGGATGCTTCAAGGATTGCACAACCACAGCTGATCTGTCCCGTCAAGATTCCTGTGATTGGCTGATCTGAGGGGCGCTGCAGCCAATCAGCTACAGGTCCAGGAGGGCTTGCACACCCCCTCCCCTGCAGGTTGACAGACACGTGGGTAACGCCTGGCGGCACTACTGCCCTCTGCTGGACGCGCCTAGCCAAGGCGTTGGCCCAGTAAGCTCAGTTTAGCTGGGGCATGGGTGAGGGCACCCACCTGGGCAATGGTGGGGTAGCTGATCTGGAAACCTGGCTTTAGAGCTCCCAGTGCCCATTTCCCTCTTGGGGCAGTTACAGTTCTTATTTATTTTCTTATTTACTTTACAGAATTACAAACACAAGCATTAATATACATATTTTTTGTATTTATGAACACAGACCACAATGGTATATGTGAACTGTGTAGACTCTTCAACATGCAGTCCTCAAAACAACCCTAGCAAAAATAGCAGCTTCACAGTGGATGATCTTGGCAGAC